TTACTAACCCATGTTACAACAATAGTCCTATGACAAAGGATTTCACTATATGAGGCGTGAACTTCATATTTAATGCTATCTATAATATGTGCTCTCATGTCTTATGCTGCAAATCATTTTACATTTAGGATTCGTTGCTGAGTTTTTTTTTACTGTTCTCGTCTCCGAATCCCTTAAATAGATTTTTTTTCAAGCCCCACAGTAGTTCAATAATTACTATATGTCTTTGGATAAATAAGTATGCAGGGCATATTTCAAAACATATTTTATCTTCAGGACTTTTAAATGATTTACTTTTACAATACTGCATTGGGAAGGGGGGTATACAAGTTTATTTTGTGACACATTATAAAATATAATTAGGTATCCAACAAATTATATGATTGTACGTTTAGCTATTATCTAGACCCGTACAAAATGTATATAATTAGACACATTTAACAGCGGCGGATCCAAAACCTCGGTGTCTTGGGGGGTGGGGGGGGGAGGGGGGGGGGGGGAGGTGGGGTGGTGGTACGTTTAAATTTAGATATTTGGATAGAGATGTTTATATGCGACTATTGGCAGTAATGGTTATGGTGTGTGTGTGAGGGTAGGGGTTTCAGATCAAAGATCGTTTCTATAATTCTATATCTTTAAGTTTTTACCATTTCACTCTATTCTTTGTCCTTTGATCTCTATTATATTTGTCCTAAACATGCGTGACATATTTGCCACTGGACATAAGGCAATCAAAAGTCAATCAACGTATTCTGTATATTTCATCATTGCATCATTTCTTTATTATGTTATCTATAGGTTTGGTCCCGCCCCTTGTCTATTTTTTGGCACATTAGGGACTAAATCAAAAGTTCAATGTAGGATAAAAAAACTTAATTCATATAGTTTTTTTCAGTGACCTCCTACCCCTCCCCCCTCTTAACTTGATTTGGGAAAAATTGATTGACCATAAGGATATATGTATAAAATCGATGTTAATTAAACAAAATTTGCAGCAATTTTTACCCCCCCCCCACCCCCCCAAAAAAAAAAAACCATTTAAATTAAGTTTTTTATCCTTCATTGATTTTCTGATGTCGTCCCTTATCCTCTCTATGTAAACCCAATTCATGTCCTTATAAATGGTGACTCATGCATAGCACCATATGTGGTTATTAAAACAAGAAACATATTCATATTATAATAATTAATGTATGCTAAGACTTATAGATATATGTCATTAGTCCCAAGTCATGTAATAAAGTAGGTCTTATAAAAATACAATAGCATTTTAATTTTGATAATTATATATATGTTTATATATTTAATAATGCCAGTTTTTGGAAAAAAAGGTAGGGGCAAGGCGTTTTTAAAACATATCAATGGGGCACGTTTTTTTTTTTTTGTTCTTCGGAAGTGAGCCAGAAGAAGTCTATTTCTGGGTTTTTTTTGCATTGTGAAGATCTTCTTGCTCTCTTCCACCTCTTCTTTTTTGATAGGTTGACGGCAGAGGCACATAACAAACATGGCGTCGTTTAGTCTAAATGAAATTAATAAATTTATGAATGCAGATATATTAGAATGTGAGCTGTTTTATAAACGTTTTTATGGTATGACAGCCTTAGTAGGACATCCCTGTAGGACGATAAGCTGGATAAATATAAGAACTACACGGGCAATAATAGTTAAGGGATGATTATTTGATATTCTAGAGAAGGGATTTTGAATGATTGGTGTTTAACGCTACTTTCAACACTATTGGGCTATTCCGTGGTGGTCAGATTAAATTTATAGATGAAGGATGGGGAAGGGAAGAGAGGGCATTATTATTCATTTCAATCTGTCGCTAATCATGCATATTTTTCAGCTCTTACCAGGCAACCATATTCATATATGAAATCCTTCTGTCCCCCACCCCAACAAATAAATAAATATCAAATGGTTTTCCTCTTATTTAACACAAGTTTAAATTGATTGATTGTTTGTTGCTAATTTAACGCCCAGTGAAAATTATTTCATGCTTGTTCAGGAAAACACGAGTTTAGAAGTCACGTATATAATATAAAAATGAAGAGATGGAATATGATTGTTTATAAGGCAACTATCCACCGGAGTTCAAATATGAAGTGGATGTAAGCAATTATAGATAAGATAAGATAAGATAAGAAAAATTTATTTTAAGTCGGGTTACATGAAATACTACAAACATAAGCTCTGTAGAGCTTTTTGCCGTCATGTAGACAAATGCTTTTTGTAGACAATCGTAAGGCCTTCAACAATGACAAAAACCTGATACTGTAAAGTCGTCTATAAAAGGCCCGACATGAAAAGTGTGAACAATTCAAACGAAAAAACTAACAGCCTAATTATACATAACAAAACAATTTACAAAATATCAAATATGAGTCGAGACAGGAATCAACGACAACCGCTAAACTACAGGCTCCATCCCTGGGAAAGGCAAATAAAGAATATGGCAGGGTGGATATAAAAACGAAGATGTGGTATGACTGCAAATGAGACAACTCTCCACAAGAGATCAAATGACACAGAAATCAACAGCTATAAGTCACCGTACGGCCTTCGACAATAAGCAAAGCCTACACCGCATAGTCAGCTATAAAAGGCCCCGAAATCAAAAATGTAAAACAATTCAATCGAGAAAACTAACGGCCGAATTAATGTACAAAAAAATGAACGAAACACAAATATGTATATCAAAGCAACAAACGGCAACCACTGAATTACAGGCCTCTGACTTGGGACAATCACATACATACAGAATGTGGCGGGGTTAAACATGTTAGCGGGATCCCAATCCTCCCCCTAATCTGGGACAGCGGTGTAACAGTACAACAACATGTTTGTGAGCAACCCATCCCGAAGCTGGGACAGTGGTGTAACAGTACAATAAAATAACAACCTGCACAAATCAGCAAATTAACTCAAAAGATCGGTACGAGACACACAAACAACTAACATTAAGACAATAGACACAAAGCACCGACATTAGAGTATTTACAATTACTGGAAGTTTGCTCAAACCTAATTACAACTGGTACTGAAATAAATCTTGTTCTCCCAGACTGAGTTATCAATCAGTACACAACGCGCGGCAAAGGATTTATTAAAAAAAGAAAGCAGTCTGAGAAACGTCTGGTTTACGTTGTATATAGATATAAGAAGATGTGGTATGAGTGCCGATGAGACAACTCTCCATCCAAGTCATAATTTGTAAATGTAAACCATTAAAGATCAACGTACGGTCTTCAACACGGAGCCTTGGCTCAAACCGAACAGCAAGCTATAAAGGGTCCCCAATAAATTGGTAGTGTAAAACCATTCAAACGGGAAAACCAACGGTGTCTAATCTATTTAAAAAAAAACGATATACTTGCATATAAATCCATATACAATGAAACGGTTTTCGAAAAGTGAACCGAACGTTTTGACCATCGAAATTTTGCAATAGAAATACTAGTTATGACCACAAGATTTTAACAGCCAGTGCAGGACTCGCACGAACGTTAGATTTAGTTAGAGGGGAGATATTCTGACGCTTGTTTTTTTAATTCTTGGTCACCCATGTATAGAAAGAAAGGGGAGAAATCCAAACAATTTCCGACCAATCACAAACGTTGTTGCAAATTTGACCTTATGACGTTAAAGAAATTTCCCATAATGCAATTATTGCATATAAATAAAAAAACTACTATACCAATTGAATAAAAAATATTGCATTCAAATGACATTTTATACCATTGAATAAAAACTATTGCATTTAAATAAAAATTATACCATTTGAATGAAAAATTATACCATTTGAATGAAAAAATATACCATTTGAATAAAAAATATTGCATTTAAATGAAAAAAAATACCATTCAAATAAAAAAATATTGCATTTAAATGAAGAAATATACCATTCAAATAAAAAAATATTGCATTTAAATGAAGAAATATACCAATTAAATAAGAAATATTGCATTTAAATGAAAAATATCAAATTTTTGCAACCAATACCATGTCATAGAAAGGTTATATGATAATTATTAACAAATATTTCATTAAATAGACAATGAATGTTTATTATCAAAGTATAAAAAGAGCAGACACTCATAGGTGATTGAAGACTTTAACAATCTTTAAAGTTTGTAATTAGGATGCAGACCAAAAATGAATGATGTAGAGTCTAAAACAAACGATGATTGAATGCCAGACATTTTCTTATTTTTTATCAAGACGTATAGAAAATAAGATTGAGATTGAAAAAAAAAAATAAAAGAGAAAAAAATGCTATGATGTGACAGTTAAATGAGTATAGATGATGACATACGTTTGTAGGAGAAGAACCACCGTCAATGATAGATCGTGCATGCTCATTTTCATTTTGTTGCACATGATCTGTTTAAACGAGATACATTTTTTTTCTAAATGCATTTTTTTTAAAGGAAAACTAAACAGAAAACAGTTTTGATCTTTCTGTGAGCTTGAAATACAGCTTTTGGAAAGAAAAAGAAAAAAACAACCACATAAACAATGTAAGATTTTACCATACATTAGGACGTTAATTTTGGCAATTTACTTTTGCCTGCACACAACATTTACATTTTTTTAAACACTGATGAGCAATTTTTAAAGTAATGGATACATCAAGTACTAATAGATCAATAATCAGAAGTCGGAAAAATTTGGTCAACGTACAAGTTTAGTCCTAACTTTACGTGGGCGCATATTTCAAAATGAAAAAAGTGGATTAAGTGATGAATAAGTATTCATCTTGATATCTATATGTATGCAATGGTTTTCAAATTTCCTAATTTTGTAACAAATGCATTATATCATGCATGTTAAAACGACATCAGTTTATCTGGCGTATTGTATGCCAACGATGATTGTTGATTTTTTAAATATCGTTGAATTGAGTTTCTTGTGTTAAAGGATTTCTTTTACACTTTTACTAAATAATGTATTTAAGATTACCGGTGCATAATTTAAATAATATAGAGTTACCTTTTCGCAATGTCTGTTCTGTCCAAGGTCAGTGAACCAATATAAAACGAAAGTACTTGAAACATGGTGGGAATGTCCGTATAATATAGTGTTGGTAAAGGTAAGATCTGTCAGTTCATTAGTAAAATCAACACTTTTTGTAATGAAGTATCAATAATTATATACGAACACAAAACAAGGTGTAGAAAAAAATGATGAAATGGTAATTCATATCTTTTACATTTTAATAGTTTACGTTAATGTCAATCATACAGATCACGATTTACATTTGTTTCATGAATTTTTGGCAATGTTTACCTTGAAAACTGATAAGAAATCGATAAAGATAAAATATTTTTTCCAAGCAGTTACTGCAACGTTTCTTGTTTTCGGCAAATTCTTTGTACATTTCGAAATCATCTGAATTTATATATTATCTAAAAAAAATCTAAATTTAAAAAATCAAGAATAACTTTACTTCCATATTGATTTTTTTTTTAATTGAGCCTTCAAGCTTTTTTTAAAATTATTATAAGGATACCAAGATTTGGAACGAAGCATTCTAAAACCAAAAAGAAACCATACTTCGTGTTCTTCTCTCATATGAATATCTGAGATATTCGTCAAGAATATATTCGCCTGCTACCTATATATACTGAATGAAAAAAAAAGAAAACAGGTCATGAAAATATCAGTATCCACTCATTTAAATTAAACACACTCTGTTTTCTGAAGTTTTAAAAGGAAACATAAAACACATTGTGTTTTTTTTTTGTCTTTGTGTACATGTATTCAATTTTCTATTTCATTCTGACTTTAAGTGCATGGATTATATTTGCATGTTGTTTTCATCTACTAAATCCAAACAATAATATCGCAAAGAATGCTCTAGGGAAATTGATGGTCTTTTCCCAAATTATAAAAAAGAAACATGTACATGTGATGTACGCGTTTTATTTTTTCAAAATGTTCATCTGTCTGTTTACAAATTTAGCTTGACGATTCATTTTGTCAACGAAATGTATTATTTCTATAAATTCATCTCCTAGACCTGATTTTAAGAACAAACAGTATCGCAAAGAATTCCACAGGAAGAATGATCGGAATTAGAAGTAGTGAATTTTCCCTGACGGAATTCTTTTCATCCTATTTATTTTCTATTGTGACGAAATGTATTTTTTAAACAGATTGTGAGAATTACACGTTAAAATTGGGCCAAGTTTGCACCAGGAATTTATTCTTTTGTCAGTCAAACAAAGACATGGATTTAAACTTTTTGAATTTATTATGGTGATCGGTGAATAAAAAATTATATTGTTAGAAAATACATAATAATTTTTGAAGGATTAATTAGACTTTTTTTCAATTTGTGCCTGTATAGAACCCTTTTTCAAATTCATAAACAGTTTTTGTTGAAAATTGAACTGTCAAGGATTTTGTCATGAATACTTAATTTGACATTCAAAGGAACAAAGGAATGACCCGGTCTTTATGTATAACATAACAACTGCACACGAAATTCTAAAAATGTCTATAAATAGCACGCCTGTCTACATGTTTTAATTTAACTGTATATTTTTTTTAGATCATTACTTCTTTTTATTACTAAAATGTAACCTTTGTGCTATCGATCAGATGAACATTCTTTAACATTATAAAAACCAACTCGTAAATATAATTTCACAGTTATAACAATGTTCATTCCCTTTCATCAAAGGCTACAATATGTTATTAAATAGTAAACTGTAACAAGATATAATGGTGTAGTTGATATCGCGAACAATCTCGTTTTATGAAGAACCAGACTCATCATAACTTCAAATATGACATTTGTAATATATTTTGTCAAATTTGGTGGATTGAATTTTTAACAAGCGATCGATATTTTTATCTATAAAAAAATAGAAGGCTATTTGTTTATATAACTCGAATTCTAAAAAAAAAAAAATATGTACCGTAAATAAACTAAATTAAATCCTTCGGAATTTGTCCGATGTTCAGAAGACTTTTAGACATGATTATTTATATTTGTATGCTACACATTTGCATTAACCTCTGTATTTAGTGCGAAACGGCCAAATATAATACGAAAAGCATTGATAAAACATATTCAAAGAATAAAAAAAAACTTTGTAAACTTCTTTTATATCATGTTGATACATATCAATTATTTCATGTTGCTCATATATGCATCTCACTATTGCCAAAGACAGAGATTGAAAATTGTAAACGAGGATCCGGATCAATGACAAATTTAAAAATTTTAAAAATTCTTATTTTTTCCATTTTTTTCTGTTTATCAGCAGCAATTGAACACCTGCCCTATTTTATGCAAAAACATGTCTATACTAAGTACGTCTGAACCAGTGACAACTCTACAACAGATTTATCCATCGGATCACCAGCAGTGATGGTGATACATGACTGTGTACATTCTGTATATACAACTCGTCTAAACATCAACCCAACAATGTTAGATCTGTAAATTTGCTTTCGCAAATTGTGTGTTCTTCCCTCGCCGGGATTCGAACTCTTGCAACTGAGATATCGTGACACCAAATCGCCTGCACTGTATCCGGCGCGCTAGACCACTCGACCACCTGGGCTTCACAATAATAAAGCTTTCGGTGGCCGAGTGTGAATATATATATATATATATATATATACCCAGCTAAGTACAGTTGTGTGTTTTACACGCAAACAATACTGCTATACACCAAAGAGAACGAACTATCAATATAGACGAATAAACAGTCACCATCAATGACTTCGTTGATCAAAACGATGTGTGTCTGCGACTCGACTTTCGAGTGACATGCGTTCTTGGTCTGATTTGATTTTTGTTTTTAAATTTATCTGATAATCTACATGTATCTTGTTATTAAGTGTTGGTTTAAATAGCAAGTAGGACGACGGTTGATACTTGCAATGCACGAGACGCCTACAATGTCGATGCAACCGGTTATGTTTGTTTTGTTTTTTTTAACTTGATTGATAGATATATTAAGTATAGATTTGCGATATCTTAATATTAATACAGTGTACACTCACACTCTTAAATCACCAAAATGATTTTTTTTTATACTAAAATTTAATGCATATTCGTGTTCGTTTTCCGTTTTCTCAAAAATAAATTTCTTAACTTCTTGTACATGTAACAAGAAATGAGGATTTCTTAACAGCAAAACATTTTGAAAGCAAAAAAAACTGTACACCTTAGAATCAGCATGAAAATATGAATATTTAAAATCCAGGCCAAAAATAAAGCGATGGTACTTTCATTCAATTACGAACCCGCGTATGTGTCATAGTTCATTCGAAGAAACCTGTCAAAGCATTCGAAAATACGATTTCTAGGTTGACACTTTACCTTTTTTTGCAATTATTTGCCAACTTTTTTTACTGCAATTAAATCTTTGATTACAAATGTAATGTATGTCCTGAGTTAAGGTGTTGCAGAATAAGAAACGAAGATGTTTGACGTCACGATAAAGGTCTGCGACTTGTTTTCGAAAAACAATACATTTATTTCGATCACAATGTGTATAGTTTGTGGACCAGCAAAAAAAGAGCGCATGTTAGAACAAAAACAATTATATACTGGAATGTGTGTCCATCTAACAACAATCTCAAAAATCATGTTTGCAGTACTTGCTAAGGATCAACATTTTCAAATAATTAATATATTATAAAAATATACACATTGTGTTTTATTTTGTAAACAAAAATTGCATTTTAATACCTTAAGATACAAAATCTCTATAAATATAAACGATATTACACTTTTTTAATATGCTCAGGCTTGGCGATAACAGTTTAGAGTAAAATTCATTAAAGTTTGCGATATTTCATTTGTGATTCACATATTGGTTTAACATTTCTTCAAAATGAAACTAATTACATGTAATACAATTTGAGTGTCTGTGTTCTGTAAGCAACGTTTAACCCAAAGGATTATAAAGACAACTTCAATTTATTGATTGCAGGTTGACAATGCACTGAAGATGGCAACCATAGCAGTAAGCTATTATTATATTTTATGTGTGTTTGTGTGTAACTTAAATGTTGACTAGATGTATGTCATTTAACGAAAGATGTCAAATATTTATAATGTGTTCATTGCTGCGATATAATATAATAATTATGAATTATCGTTGATGATCGCAACGAGACTCTTTTCTCGCTTGGGCTGTACGCAATCGATATGAGATGACCAATGATAATCTGTTTGTCTGGATTTTATCTATGATGACGTTGTTAATTGCATTGACAACGGCACATGCTCCTTTAGTTTCTAGTGAAAAAATTTCATATCTCTCTACTGTGCTGAGAAATGAACTTATCAGTCAGCAAGATCAAAGAGAAATTTCGTAGAATAGCGATAATATCAATGACCAGTCAATGTTTTGATATCCCAACACCGAAGAGATACATTTGCTCGTTCATTAAGTGTACGTGTTCCTTTTTTTATTATAACCGAAGGCTTCTTTAATTACAAATGGCTTTGAACAACACAATCGGTCTGTAGATGTAGAGTGCGCAATGTATGAACATTAATAGACCAATTTTGTGGAGGTGCCTTGTCGTTAACTGCTTTGAATTCAAACGGTTCAATTCATATTCTTTTTCGTTTGTATGGTAAAACATTCCATTGTAAGTAGGTAGAATTCTTTTTTAACCGTAACTTGGAAGACCTATGAATATAAACAAGGCTGTATAAAAATATATATTTTTAATTATTTTTGTGATACACAAAGCATCAAAATCAAAAACATTCACCCAAAAAAACAAAGAAAAATAAAATACTACAAAAGTTTAAATTTGCGTTAAGAACAAGTTTTAGTATTTCAGTCTAAAGAACGGTGGAAAAGATTATTTCTGCATAAGAAGCTGAAAGAAAACTAAAAAATAATCTTCATCCCCATACTAGCAAATGAAAGATAATTTGACTGGACAGATACCGCAGGACTTTAAGTTGGACGAGTAGCATGATTTGTTTCAAGACATTGCATTGCAATGAATAGAAAATTCTCATAAAATGAATGTCTTTTCAAAATGTTGACTTTAACAGTCATTGGTTGTATCAGTATGTGGATATGTGATGAATATAATTTCCTTAATCTTTTTCAGAATTCCAACTTTTTGAAATATTCGAGATATTTTCCAAATCATCTTGAGTATGCAAGCCAAGTACCTAGAGATTGGCCGGTAAGTTGCAGTCATAGATATATATCATATAAAAATTGAAACTAAAAAAAAAAATAGAACTTTATTTAATATCTCACAAGGTATTACACCACCACAACTGAATATTTGCAGTTTTCCTCAAACTTTCTTCTTCTTCTTCTTCTTCTTTATAATAATCATTATTGTTATCATTATTATTATTATTATAATCATTATTTTTATTATTATTATTATTATTATTATTATTATTATTATTATTATTATTATTTTTATTATTATTATTATTGTTATCATTATTATCATTAGTATTATTATTACTTTTCCCTTGCAACGATGGAACTATAGATAATGAGTACGATTTATTTTATAGGAAAAAAGAAGGCAAAAGAAGCCGAAGATAATAAAAGTATGTATATGCAGTGTGATATTAAAATCTCTCTTTTTTGTCTCTTGGTAATACGGTAGATTAATTTGTTGTTGTGGATATTAATGTTGGTGGATTGAGGAGAACACCTTTGTATTCATAATGGACAGGTAGATATTTATATTTTTTTTATAACAAACTATGCATTAATTTGGAATTGTAAATAAAATAATTTAGCACTTACATGACGTGATACAAAGAGACCTTACTGCATACAATAAAAATACTGTAAAATTACTTTAACATTGTTTAACATTGTTATAAAGGGAAAATGAAAATCTCAAAAAAAATACTGTACAATTTAAAAGAGTTCGTGCACTGCATCTACATCAATATTTGAAGTTGGTTATTATATTTTGATATAGTAACATATGACGGGAAAATTTCTTACAAATATATGAATTGTATACAAAACAATTGATAATGAAAACACTGGAATAAACAAATAGCCAACTGCAAGCTGCAGTGATTTACAACATCAAACATGTCAAAAGACATCTCTTTCGTGGATTTTGAGTATGAGGTGTGATTTGTTCTTTCTGATGCTAGACGATGCATGTAAATCATTAAAGTGTAGCTGTAAAAGACTGGTACCACCAATTACAAGTTCTGGACTTCTCATATATAACACAGAACTAGATTGGTTAATGGGAGAGCAGTCATACATGTGAATTCCTGTTCATAACACGGCAATCACATATTTGTATGTCTTGTTTTCGAATGAAATACGTTTTAATCAGAGAACGCTTGTGTTCAAAACATATAAATTAGGACTCTCTAGCCTTTGTTAATCTTATATATTGGTGCGGGATTTTTTTACTGTGTTGAAGATCAATTGGTGGCCGTGGGCTATGTTCTGCTTTTGGAAAAGTTGTAGTCTCTCCGACATGAACCTCATTTCAATTCTCAATTTTGAATGTAAATGTAAACCTCTTTTTCTTTAAATGTAGAATAAAATTTTAACAGAAACCTTAATTTCTCAAATGAAAAAAGAAAGTTTCTAAACAGTAAGATTACCTTTTAATCTAACTTGACAGTTATACAACAACACAATCGGGCATCACTTGAGGCACACAACAACTCTAGCATGTTTTAACTCGACCATACATGTATTGTTTTAAATGTTTGAGAATTAAATTGTGTTAATATGAATGATATTTTAATTGATACATTTATCTTTTTAGAATTATGTACTCTGTTTGGAGAATCTAGAACATATAGACATCCCTCCGAAAAGCAAGTCTAAAGAACCTGTAAGTAATGTCTTATATAAAAAATGACTCATTTATTAAAGCATCGGGTGTAGTTTTCGTAAACACATTACAACATAGAACGTACATCAAACAGTATTACGAGATTTTTTGTTAATTTTTTGATAGAATACTTCATAAGAACAATACATAACATAGTCGATTTGTATCAAAATGGCAATCAAGTATTAAAATTATTGAATGAGTATTTGTTAATTTCAACAGGAATAAAGAACCAAAACACAAAACGTGAGCATCTAGTTTGATAGCGACTAATTTGAAAATTGTAATGTACAAAAAGTAAAGGGAAACACCAGAATGAAATACATGTACTACTGACTGAAAATAAGAAATTTCGTGGCGATAATTATTATTAAAGAATGGTGCATAATGTATGTGAAATTGTTTAGCATGCAACACTTTGAACACATATTATAAAAGAAAGTCTGAAAATAGCGAAGATATTGAATACTTCGAAGCAGCACTACACATTGTGTTGGTTAATGTAAAACCGGAAAGAATTTGCTCATACATTTTAAAAAATAAAAAAAGGCTACATGTACATTTAATTGTTAAAACCACAGAATATATCATTTTCGAAAAGAATGTAAATCTTTACCTTCATTCAGCGGTAACATATTTAACACCAACGAAATAATATGATAGTATGTTACATATCGACACTGAATAAAAATGTTCACTGCCATATTAGTACACCTTGTGTGTGGTAAAAAGATTCAATGATATTTCCTTGTGTTTTCATCGTTGTAAGATAAATGGAGCAGTGACTTTTTTCTATTGAAATATTGCTCGTTTTTCACTAAGAGCTTATATATTGGAACAGTTCTGTTCATTTTATTCAGGCTGTAGTATTCGTATCATTGTCCTTTTTATTAGATGGATTGCTGTCAAATTGGCAATAATACCACATCTACTTATAAGCCAATCTTTACAAAAAAATCAAGTTAGCCATTATCATCTCGTGGCTTCCATCGTTTTTTGTTGATCATCAGTTACCTACTTTGACAGACTATTATTACATGAATAAAGTGCTTTGACAACAATGACTAAACAGAAAGACACTCAGCTATAATCATCATTGGAGGTTCAACCAATATCATCAACAAGACTAAGAATAAAACATAGATGCAACATTCATCTTTCAAAACGTTAAATATCAATAAAGTCTCAAGGGAGGGGTTCAAATGTAGGACAAATAAAATGTACTTACCGTTCGTTAAAATTTCAGCTGATTTCATATTTGATTTCTTCAATAAAAAGTCTTTCATTTTGAAAACTGTAATTAAAGTAACAGCGAAATCTAATTGCAACAATAACTCACTTTTTAAGATAATGTTGTCCGTATAACAATTATTTCCCTTAAATGGAAATGCTTATCAATTATTTTTTGGTCTCTTTAACTATATAAAAAAGTAGAAAAAGAAATTGTAAAATGGAAAGTCCCTAATCAAAAGACGGAAATTCCAAACCGCAAATGTGATCAGCAACACATATGGAGGGCATACGTTTATATTTTATTTGCAGACTTACAGAAAACGGAAAAAGGTATGAAATGTAATGCAATTACCAGAATAAATATAAAGGTAACACTATTCTGTTGATGTTCAAATCTCGTAAATAGATTAGGAAGAGGCCAATCAGGTTCAAACAGTCAAAATATTTCAAAATCAGGAATAAAACACAATTAGGAAACAGACAGATGAAACGACTATGCTGATATCTAATAATTAAAAATCGCAAAATCAGACTGCTAATGAGTTGAGACACCGCTACATCATATCAGTGAACCAGTTATTGATGTTACTCTTAAACTTGTAAAGTTTCATTTTCATTCGGTTTCCTTCAATAATCTGTTGCAGTAATTTCTTTGTAAGTAGCGCACTCTGTATTTTTTTTTCACTGCATCATGTAAACATGCAAAAGAATAACGTAAGACTTAATATATATACACAGCAAACGAACACAGATTCATATTAGATTTGTCTTGGACTACTACAAGCAATTAAGCATGAAATTATTGTTATTGGAGTTTGTTATAAGTAGTTCAACTTTATTCAAATTTCAAATCTTATTAGGGCAATTTTCGAACTCTTAATAAAACATTTCGTATCTATTCTTATCTCTGTTTTCTTTTTTTCATACTGTGATGTTATTTAAGAATTGAATGCTTCTTTCTGTAACTTTATTGGGGTGTAAAAGCGTTGACCGAAGTACATTTTGCATGAAGCGCGGAAGTGCTTAATTCTAAAAATGTGCGCACGGTCAACGCTTTTACAACCCTATGAAGTTATAAAAAGAAGCATACAATACGTATAATAACATTTTTTTGCTAGGATCATGAAACAAGATTTTTATCAAGTTTTTATTTAATTTACCTGTGCACTTTATCGTGGGACCTCGTGTCATCATGGATGATAAATTTTATTGTGTAATGAAATTGACTAAAGAATAACGCGAGATTGAAGTGTAGCCAATCAGAATAACATATTATAAACAATACAAATTTCCAACAAATAGACGGTATAGTTTTCAAAGAGGTAATTCAAAATCACGAATAGATTATATTTTTTGTACGAAATCTGTTAGCTGCAAAATTTTAAACACGCGTATAATCACATTTCCATTTAGTGATCATGACATTGTTACTTCAAAAATAAAATTAGATGATATTGAAAGAGGACCGGGAATGTGGATCATGAATCTAAATACAATTAAGACAGATGAATTTTCAAATGCATTTAAAACGTTTTGGGAAAATTGGGTTAAAAGTAAGAATCGATTCAATAGCATTTAAGAGTGGTGGGATGTAACAAAATCAAAGATTAAATTTTTGACCATGGAAATTAGTCAAAAACTAAACCGTTTATCAAAACAAAAAAATATCATTGCTTTAGAAAAACAGCTTGAAAAATTGAAACTTCAATTGAACGAATCAAATAAATCATGTGACAAAATTTTAGAAATAGAAAATAAAATTAAGGAATATTATACTAATAAAACAGTCTCCGCAAAAATTAGATCACGGACTAAATGGGCCGAAGACGGGGAGAAGCCGACCAAATACTTTTTTAAATTAGAAAAGAAAAATGGGCAGAACAAATAATGGCAACGTTTAAAAACAGAAAACGGTGAGTAAAAATGAGACATTGATTCTATCTTGAATGAACAAGTAAAATTTTATACTAAACTTTTTGCCACGGATGGATGGGACAAAACAGCGGCCGAAAAACTTTGTCAGTTTATAATAGATAAGGTAAGTAAGGAAGATAAAGAAATGTGAGATAGAGATATAAATATATGTGAAGTAGAAAAGGTACTAAAACACTTAAAACAGAACAAATCACCTGGCGAAGATGGTATACTATCAGAATTGTATGATTTATATTGGGACGTAATAAAAGACGATTTCTTTAGTTTACTACAAGAAATCTTTAATGATACTATATTGAGTAACTGTTAACATAAGGGGGTCTTAACCTTACTACATAAAGGAGGAGAAAGGGAAAATATAAAAAAAAATGGAGACCACTAACTCTACTAAATTGTGATTATAAAATTATTGCAAAGATTCTTGCTGAAAGACTTAAGATAGTATTACCTAAAATTATTCATAGCGATCAGAAAGGGTTTGTTAAAGGTAGAAATATAAGCGAGGCTAACCAAATAATTCAGGACATTATAGAATATATTGACAACGAAGATAAAGAAGAAATTATATTATTTTTTTATCAACAAAAAGCGTTCGATAGGGTTGAATGGGAATGGATAGATTTTGTACTGGAGAAATTTGAATTTGGCGGGAATTTTTTAGCATGGTTAAATTTTTTATTATACAATGCTACGTCGTGTATTAAAACCAATGGATTTGTATCAAGATACTTTTCGATTACTCGCTCCGCTAGGCAAGGGTATCTAATAGCCCCTCTCTTGTATATCATACAGGCTGAACCAATGGCATGTGCGATTAGGGGTAACATTGAAATAGATGGATTAAAATTACCAGGAGAGGGAGGGAACTTTATAGAAACTTAATTATGTATGTTTGCAGATGACACCCAGGTATTTAATAAAAATGAAAAAAGCTGTAGAAAATACTTTTAAAATTTTGTCCTTATACGAAAAAGCTTCGGGTTCTAGAATAAACTATGACAAAACAAAAGGCTTACTTTAAAGGGCTTCTAAAAGAAAACGATTTAAATTTTATAAAATAAAATGGATCACAGGCAATGTTAAAACATTAGGGGTGTGTCATGGTTATGAAATAGATGACGATGATATTTGGAGAAAAATAATAGATAAAGTTAAAAATTGTATACACGTATGGAAAAGTAGGAAGCTTACATTACAGGTAAAACACTTATAGTAAAAAAATATGATACTTTCTCTCTGTTCTAACGAAATCGAAATACGAGGAATTCCGGATAAATATACTAAAGAGCTAAATAATATAATTTGGAACTTTATATGGGACGGAAAAGTGAATCAGGTAGATAGAAATGTCTGCTGTTTGAATGAAAAATAAGGGGAATGGGTATGGTAAGTATAGATATGTTTATAAAAAGTAAACGCATAAAACTTTTATATCGTTTAATGCAGGAGCCATTGGAAAGCTGGAAAGCGATCGGTAAGTGTTGGCTTCGGAAATTCGATGAAAAATATAATAATGCCTTTTTTGTATGTAAATGTTCAAGTTTAAATGGTTTAGATATGAACCAATTGCCACACGTTTATCAGAAAATTATAAATACGTGGTCAGGATTCATTCAAAATATTGATACACCTTCAAATAAAAGTGATATTTTAAATACGAGGATATTTGGAAACTCTTCTATTCTGTTCAAAAATAAATCATTGTTATACTCTTTTTTTTAAATAACCGATATCACAAACTATCCAGGACATTTGGAATCCAGAAACTACAGATTTTATTAGCTGTAATGAAATTGATAGGAAGCTGTTTGATCGGAGAAATTGTATTTCCGAATTTTCAAAAATTAAACAGGCAATTCCTAAAGATTTCGTGCAAATTTTGAAATCTTGCGGAAACAAGAGTATGCATTATGAAAGGAAATTAAAGATATCAAATGACCTTGAGATCATTAACTTAAACAACCAAACAATCAAACCATCAAAGTTAAAACTCAAATATATTCGTACGGTTTTAAATAAAGATGTATCTCCAAAATGTCAAATTAAGTGGGAGGAAATATTTGGAAACAATATACTTTGGGAAAATATATGGTCGGGATTAAAACAGTTGACAATTGAAAATAATGTAAAAGAATTTCAATGGAGATCCATTCACACTATTTTATATACTGAAGAAAGATTAAAAAAATGAAGATATCAAATGGAAAATGCCACATTTGTCAAAATGACAACAATATAGAAACCCTGCAACACTTATTTTTCAGTTGTAGTACATCACAGTTAATTTTAAAAAATCTCCAAGAAATACTTATCAAATCAAACATAGGAATAAATAATCCTCTTGTTGAAAAGGACATTCTGTTAGGTAAAAACACGGGAATACTAAAATATGATAAATTTCTAAACATCATTATCAATGATTATCATCTTCTAAATAGACTCTATGGAAAATTAGGAATTCAATAAAATTTAACAAAACGCCTAAAGCACCTCAAGATATTTATAATATCTGGAAACATAACTTGAAAAATAATCTAAAATTTGTTATTCTATTGAAAGACATTGACATCATCGATAAGACAAAATTAGAGTCGGTGATAACGAAAATTTAGACAGTATAAGCTTGAGTCAAAGTACATTTTTTATGGTTTATTGTATAAGAATATCGATTTTATCAATTTATACAAACATAAAAAAAAATGGTAAACAAGTGTTAGCCTATCATGTTTATTGTAGTATAAAATGCACATCTTTTGTGTGGGTATCTTATTATTTACTTACTATTTTGAAATGAAGGTATAGAGCTGTAAGATGCTTCTAACATTATAAGGATATATTTTTGACACTAATTTAAATCCAAGGTAAAAATGTAGACTACATTTTTATTGCCTTCTATTGTCCCCGGATAGATGGTTCATTTTGTAAACAGGGACCCTTAGCCTGTTCCTGGACGACCAAGGTAATTGTATACAGGAAATATTTAGGAATAAAACGTTTATATGTGTTAAAAAAAAACAACATTATAATGAAACATATATCTGATGTAATTATATCTTAAAAAAGTCTTATTTCTTAAACTTAAACTGAATTACACATGCCTAAAATGACAATAGTAAAATTTTGAGGGATTGCAGCAAATAGCAAGTATCTATTTTCAGATATTGACGAAAAAGGGCATTCGTAAATATGTATCAGAAGTAAAGGCATATACTTTCTTTCAGATATAATTCACTTCAATTTTGATAGTATTGCTTTGCGATGCATACATCATAAAAAAATTTACTACATGAACATAGAATTTATATACATATACTAACGAATTGCAATTTAACCAAGTCTATAAAACTTAACAATCATTCTCTGATTGCCCGGTTATACATTGATGATAATATGGTACCTGTGTTGTGTTTATTTGATATTTACAAAGTAACGTTAACATTTTAAGTTACTATTTTCGTTTTGAAGTCATTAACGGGAAGCTTAATACAAACATTTATGATAAAAGAGATGATTTTTTATTTTCTATCGTTAATTATCCATTTTTAGATGGTGATGTTCCCTTGTCACCATCTTATGATGTTTATATATCTCAACTTGTACGATTCGCTCGTGTATGTAACAACGTATTAGATTTTAGCGAGAGAAATTTATATATTACTGAAAAATTATTACACCAGGGTTTTCGATATCATAAACTAGTCAAAACATTTACTAAATTTTATCATCGGTATAAGGACATCATTCGTAAATATAACTCAACATGCAGACATCTTATACGTTCGGGTATAACCTTTAAACAAACTTATTAAGAAGGGATATAGTTACGATATTGTTATCAGGTCATTAAAAATTGCATATTTTGGCTTTAATATTGATTCATTTATAGGGTCTTTGCATCGGAATTAAACATATTTATTCTAAAACCAGTTGTTGGCATGACACGGGTTATGTTCTTCTCATATATTTTATGACGGTATAATACTATACCCCTAACTGGAGGGATTGTGCCTGATATTCATATGATGAAGACATAATCTTTCAATCAGTTTAATTGAGGTCTGGAGCTGGCATGTCAGTAACTGCTAGTAGTCTGTTGTTATTTATGTATTATTGTCATTTTCTTTATTTTCTTTTGTTTCCTATTCTGACATCGGACTCGGACTTCTCTTAAACTGAGTTTTACTGTGCGTACTGTTGTACGTTTGTTTTTTCTACATTGGCTAGAGGTATAGGGGGAGGGTTGAGATCTCAAAAAACATGTTTAACCCCGCCGCATTTTTGCGCCTGTCCCAAGTCAGGAGCCTCTGGCCTTTGTTAGTCTTGTATCATTTTTAATTTTAGTTTCTTGTGTATAGTTTGGAATTTAGTATGACGTCCATTATCACTGAACTAGTATACACTTTTGTTTAGGGGCCAGCTGAAGGACGCCTCCGGGTGCGAGAGTTTCTCGCTGCATTGAAGACCCATTGCTGGCCTTCGGCTGTTGTCTGCTCTATGGTCGGGTTGTTGTCTCTTTGACACATTCCCCATTTCCATTCTCAATTTTATTTAACTGTGTATATTTATGACACATTTATGTCTTCTGTGTCATTTTAAAACCTCACTTTCCTTTCGTTTGTATACTATTGTGTAGCTGTATAATACATATGCACAAAGTGATGAAATTATGTATTGGACCTGAACCAAGAGGGAATGAATACATTCGAAGCGATATTCATCAATAATAATGTAATGTTACATTATAATCCTCGTCCAAAATTACTGGATGTTTTATAGCATCCAATAGCTACAACATCTGCCAGTCAAACAGACGGATGCGATGCCATACAAACATATACACAAACAGATGATAAGATTCTGCATGAAATGGCAACTCAGACTGAGGATGAAGATGTTCCAGATAGCCCAAAGGTAAACGTTACTATAATAAACATAGATGAAGCATAAAATAAAAATGAATTACATTATTTCAAAAATACATAAATAGTAAATGCATTGCCACGAAAGAGAGAATTAAAGCCAAACAGAATTATATAACTTAAAAAATACGAAAAGGTAAATGCATTGTCAAGAAAGAGAGAATAAAAGCCAAAAAGAATAGTTTTTTAAAACTTTACAGGCGGAATCTTTCGAAAAAGGAGAAGCGTGGATGATCGAACTTTTGCTTTTGCCTCCCTCTTAAGATAACCAGCTAAAACAATGCATAAGGTACAGTGCTCGGATGTCTCAAACTGTCTTATTTTAGTAAAATAAAGTTGCAATAATCAACAGACATGATATAATATATTAAACAGTGTTCTACAATTGAGTTTAGTAATGGGGAAAATGTCATTGAGACAAAAAAAAAACGACCAAAGAGAAGACAACAGGGAGGGCCACCAATGGCTCTTCAACGCAACGAAATAATCCCGCACCCGCAGTTGGGCTCTGTGTGCCCCTAAATAAAAATGTGTATAAGTCCAGTAAAATGAACGTCATACTAAACTCAAAATTAAAGAACAATAGTTGTCCATATCATTACTAACATTGTCGTCATGATATTTTTTTTAAAGTAAATATAAACAGATTTATTGTTTACAAACGTTAATAACCATCAAGAACAGATACCTTTGTAAAGCTTTAAGAAATCAATAAAATAAAGATAATCTGAATCGGGTCTTAAGTCTATCGAAATTGAAACATGCTCTATCATTTTCAGAGAGTTGTGGAGGAACTTCAACAGATTCCCACATTTGAGGTAAATATTTGTTTTTCATATTAACAATGTGTTTGCGATATTTTTTACATTGCTTATCTTAATATAGTGATGGATACATTTCCGGTATACTAATTTATGACAAATTGCTTCAAAATGTTATAAAAACTGGTGCCTGTCTTTTCATTCCGAATGGGTTTCTGTGTAAAGTTATTTACAAAGTGCTATGTTTAGCTTCTGACTGATATATTGATGCTCAGAGATCATCCGACGTTTTATCTGGTTTAATCACACATTGTTGTAATACACTTAGGGAATGACTGTAATATGTTTTCTGTCCATGAAGAAATAACATAAAAAAAGTGGTGCACACTGGTTAACCCGCGTAGCGGGTTATTATTAACTATGCACCGCATTTTTTATGTTATTTTGAATAGACAGAAAAAAATATTACAGTCATTTCTTATAATATAATTCTAAATTCCATGTTAAACAGGCGTAAATCATGAAAAAACGTGGATGACGTCACGGTCACATGACAGAATTATGTCTATGAGATGATTAACAAAACACTGTCCGATAATCAGAAGACACGTTACATCAACAATTATATTATTGCTATATGCAAGTAACTTAAACATATATTCAAATGTAATGATTGTTAAATAAAAAAAATACATTTGGATTGGTTAACTTTCAAAGAACTCTCCAACGAAGACAAGCTACCGCTACCCCCTGTCATCTCACATGAAAAAAATCTCATAACTGTAAATATACATACGACATGTTTGTTTACACGTTACATTGCATCTGTTCCACTGTGTTTTTCAAAATGTATTGATTTAATAGTGTGCTAATTCTTAGATTTTTGTCTTGTATCGTATTCTACACTCATGTGTGTTTTAATTATTCATGTAACTTAATGATTTTAGCTTATGGAACATGCACAACAGTCCTCGGCAGGGGTTATACAAGATGGACAGGTATAGAACCATAATAAATGACAGAAAACAATACATTTTAACTGATGCGACGTTGAAAGCTAGCTTTTAACGTATGCATTTGGATATCCTGTTTGTATCGTTTGCCCCTGTTAAGTAGTTGCAGTACTATACTTATGCATGGTACTCATGGTACTGACATAATATGTTCTCGTAACAATACTAGGTTCTCTCTAAACGCGGACATGCAAAGTAACCTCTGGAGTTTAAATAATCAAAAGAAATAATATAATTTTCCTAAAATCAAATGGAAGTTTGCATCAGGAACTGACACTAGTGGGTAATTGTGACTGATGAGGATGTAATCATGACTATTCAAGTATATATGTGTATGCATATATGGTCTTGTATTGTAATTACTGTTTTCATTATACTAATTAGAATAGTATAACGAATTTTTTATACCACATTTACCGTTATACGCTTGTTCATTTCACATGCTTCATAGTGATAATTCATATTGATATTGCGTGCTTAGTTATGTAGTACAAGAGAAAGAGGTATGTGAATGTCAACTAATTTTCAAAAAAGGAAAAGAAAGAATTATACCGAAAATGGTTTAAGAACATTAAAGAATTTATAAGAGAAAACAAACGACAGGATCCATGCTTCAACAATATTGATAAACCTAACACAATATCTTTTTCTAAAAAATATATTTCAAATATAAGGTAGTTCATATTAGACCAAAATCTATATAAGTCAGAAAATAAAACAACGTTTTTCTAGTATGCATGTCTTAGTAAACATGATACATTGGATCCCAACTACAGATAAAAATTCTTTTATTTGTTTAATCAACATACACTTTTATTACATTAGCCATCACCAAAAGACATTTGGGGTAATTTGAAGACTTTTGGAGAGCCAAGAATAGTTGTATCTGTGATAGGTGCTTATAATGAATGTACGCAAACGTATGAGTGGGCTGATCACTTGCTTTTAAAGAATGCAATTGCGCATGTCGCAAGATATTCAGGAAGTAAGTTTGTTCATGCAGTTTAAATATACCGTTTGATTACGTTTTAATGATTTGAAAAAAAGTATAGTAAAAAGAAATATCAAATCGAAAAAAAAGTAAACCTTTGTCTTTTTAAACATTTTACTGCGTTTGGTATTCAATAATAAATGCTGCATTTTAAATTATGAGATGTATCACTTCCAGTAAAATTGCACAATGATAAATCAGCCAGAACATCAGAATGTTTGCAAATGTCACAACAGCAAAACTATAACATATCCAGGGATCTAAAAAAAAACATTTAAATACTAGGTTATTGTTATCGTTTATTAAACCTTTTTAAGTCATTCTTCACTTAAGGAAAGTTGGTATAATTACCAATTAGATATATATCCACCAAAGTTTCCATGAAGGTGATGTATTTAATTAAATGCGAAAGTACAGCCTTCAACTAAGAGAAAAACACATAACGCGTCTTCAGCTATAAAAGGCCTCGTTATGAAAAAAGGAAAAAAATCTTTTGGTAAAACTAACTGTTTCATTAACAAAAAAAAATATTTACTTAAAAGAACCAACGACTACCACTGAACTAGTACTCAAGGTTCCTGATTTGAGACATGGTCATAAAGAATGTGGTGGGGTAACACGTGTTTTTAAGTGTATAACTCTTTTTTAACTAGGACAGTGGTGTAACAGCAAAACATGAAAATAAACTACACATATCAATTGATAAAGGTTAACATAATAATAGATCAATACAAAGCAAGAAAAAAACATATAAGATAACCAAGACCGGACTTGACAGGGTATTTATACATCCGTAGTACACAAAACAGACACGAAGTACAGACATGAGATTTCTGGCAGTTTCTGGCAGTTGGTTTAAACCCAATAGCAACTTAAAAAAAAAGCATGTATATAAGACTAAGAAATCAATCAATACACACCCAACATTATTCTTTATTAGCAAGTTTATACATTTTTGCAAGATGCACATATATCATCTGTTTTTCTTCCAGTTCAAATTCTGTTCTCTACTTACCACTTTCAAGTTATCTTATTTTAAAAAACCCACAAATACACATATTTTAATTTTCCTGTATCACTTTTCATAACGAGATATAGCTAACGTCGTATTAGGATTCACAATGCATATATATAACAACTGTGTTTCTCTTTTGAACAGGATGTGGGTTTTTATTTAATGAGAAAAACACAGATTTTGTAAACAGTGTTGTTAGCAGAAGTTGTGTTATGAAAGGTTTATCACAAAAATATGGATACACCTCAATGCATTTTTCTGTAAGATATTTTATGTTTATAATATCATTTTGCATATTTGCATTTCATACAAAAATTTCTTCAGGCATGTTTCATGACGGAATTTAAGACGGCAATCATGCTAAAAGTTATCGAACCATACCGTAAATCAAGTTGACATATAGGAGTTAAGAACTTAGTCTTTGTAAAATGTACCAAAGGTTTCATCGAGAACAACCCAATTGAAATATAAGAGTACACAGTTATGACAAATAGTTTAACATTGACTGATACTCAAAATCTGAAATATCTTAAAACTCTTCACAGAAAATAGTAAATGCACAATATACCGACATTGAACATGACCTGGACGTGGTTTTTTAGAAAAACTCGAAGACCTATAAAATATTAACAGTTACTAAAAATGTTAAAGATACGAGGCAATCTATCAACCAATCTTTTATATTTTGTTTAATTTGAAATTCTCTACAAGTTTGTATTTGGTTTTGATTTTCTAACTGTTGTAATATTTGGCTCCAATGATACTTCTGATATAGACAAAATTACAAGCCATGTACAGTTAATGGAATATGACAGTTATTATCCATTCGTTTGATGTGTTTGAAATTATGATTTTGCAATTTGATAAGGGACATTCCTTTTTGAATTTTCCTCGGAGTTCATTATTTTTGTGATTTTACTTTTAAAACCCGTTGGTTGGTACTACTCCTGGTTTCAACCCCTATGGGTTTTACCAGCCCAGTTATCAACACTTTTGAGTTCAGATGAGATGACACTAACAGAATTGTTCACGTTTTATAAAGTTATTGTGTATACAATGATGAATCAGATTTGTCGTTCTCAATGTATAGCCTAAGATGTATTTGGAACAATTTCTCGAAACTCTATAACTATTCATTTGATTTACCTGATTTAGGCCTTATAACTTTTAAAACTTTAAAAACATAAGAGCACCACTTATGAGTTTTATGTACACAAAACACGCGTCCGGCTATCTAAATTATAACCCTAGCATCTGTTTTGACTCTCTACAGCAAAATTTGAAATAAAACTTAAAAAAAAACAACAAATAAAAAAGAAACCTTTAAGAACAAATAAAACAGAAGACATCATTTGAATACATGTTGAACTTGAAAGTATTATACTTATAATCTATAGTAAAGTAACTCTTTTTGTTTTGTCAGGACAGATTAAAGGAACACAAAACAGTAAGTAATGTATATTATATTTTGACGGGAAGCTAAGATTTCATTGGAAAGTGTGATTTTATAATATAGGCAAAAACAAAATCGTTTTATATCTCTTAGCAAAAAATATATTCAACTCATTTTACCATAAACGACCAGTTGTTCATAAGGATTTCAAGGATAGTATATGATCAAATGATCGTTTTAAATAAATGTAGTGAAACTATCAGTATTAAAGTAGTATAAGGCAACAAAGGTGATGTGAACAGTTATAAATTGCCGAATATGAATGGGTACATGGTTGTGCGTCCTTTAAATAGCGTACAGTGGCCAAAATAAATGCATACTATTTTTACCAGATACAAATATTATTGAGAAGATGATCAGCTAGTTATGAATTTAAAAAGAATGTAACATTTATGTAATGATTTATATTCAAAAGCTTATCACTCACATCTAAAGATATCATAAGAAGATGTGGTATAAGTGCCAATGGGACAACTATCCATACAAAGAAATCATTTACACGATTACAGTATAAGTATAAGATGAAGGCAGTTCAGCAAAATTGCTTTCGAATGTAAAAATTGTCAATATGTACAAACAGACATAAGTAAATAAGCTTGAATTATAATAACTACAAAACGAGTGAGTCCATGTTTGTCGACTGGAATAACATCTCTTGCAAACTCAGTGCATGTTATATTCTCACAAGTCGCAAAAAATAGCATTTAAAAAAAGTATAGATGTGAGTTACAATATTGTATATCGAATACACTTTTGTTCACTAGATAAAATATAAGCTAAATAGATATAATTGCAATTTGATACACTGCATGGCCTATCAACTATGTTTACAAACATTAGATTTTCAAATCTTTATTATTTATGAAACCGTTATGTCCATTTGAAACGAATAATATCTTTAAAATATAAGATTTGGCATGGTTAAAAACGTGGTATGTTGCAAAATTATTATTACTGTCATATAATTTGTTTTCATTTTTTTGCATGATCTTATTAATAGAATCTTAAACTACCAAAATATTTCTCTTCGGCAGACAGACGAACAGCATACAGGTTATTCAAGTGAACACTTTAAAGATGTAAGCTAAGTTTGAACGGTTTAATCGATTTTTTATAAATAGATACCAATGATTTTGGTATGACAAAATGTCAAACACATTGAATTTCACAAAACACTAAATAGAAAAAAAACGACCGAAGAATACAAATCCTCATCAAGGTTTGGATGCTCTCAGTTTTTTGAAAGGGCAAGTATAGTATGCTGTACTATAAGAACCGATCGTGGTACTCGTGGTATGAAGATAAAGAGTTGAAAGGACAAAATTATGACAGTCAACAATTGAGCAGACATAAATTTGATTTAATAATGTAGCAAAACGGTTTATTAGTAAATAAGAAACCTGCTTCAAGACATTCTTATTCAAATGTATACAGAAATAAATGTCAAAAAGATCTACAACCAAGTTATCAATCATTTAAACTTTATGGCAATTCAATGAAATCATATGTAGGAAAGTTATCTTATATGGATATATTTAAAAAAGAAGTAAGTTTATTTTCAGTCTTACATTTAACATCGTTTTATGTTAAATATCAAAAAAGAAAATTGAAACAGTATCCCACTTATTTTAGTCATTCTTAAGACACCACATTAAAAACGACAAAAACAAACAGAACACAAAATCCAACATAAAAAACTACGACTTTGCAACAAATACACTATTCGTTAATGTAATATCAAAGTTCGTTAACATGTTATTTGATGCACATTTGTATCAATACAGTAGCAGAATGTTTCTTTCTTTACACCTCTGTGTTTGCTAAATATTTTACTAGATTATAACTCCTTACGATCTGTGTATACGAGTGTATTCCGAATTAAAGGAAGATAATACGTAAAGGTAAAAACATATTTTATATAATGTAAGTTACAATAGAAAACAATACACTTGCTGAAAACAGTTGTATTCTATATATTCTATATATTGTTATGTTATAACCACACTGTTAATATAACTTCTAGCTTCTGGAACTTGAAAAGTACATCAACTCAGAAGGTCGGGTATTGTTTGAAGAAGGCGAAAAGGAATCTAAAATGTTGTCAAGTAAGATATTGATTTGTACACAGCCACATTAATCATGTTAATCTTGAAACCAAATATATTCTACTTTTACGTTTGATGTTTTAATTATGCTGCTTAAACACATAAAAAACGGCATACTTTTACATGTCTTATCCGTTAATTTTCCCGTTTGAATGGTTTTACACTAGTAATTTTAACGAATTAATAAATGGTAGATATCTTAAATAGAGAGGATTATAGATTTTAAAGTCGATCTGTGAACAATTGATGATAAACGATATGATTATTTTCTACATTAATGGGAAATATACACGATAAATCTGTTGCAGACCAGTTAGCATGTTTCATTAACTTATTTGTTGTGTACATTTTCTTTCATGGCTTAGATATTCGAGTACCGGTGTCTTTATTGGTGCTGAATGGTGATTTAGACACACTTGATCATGTTATGAGAGCAATATATAGTGATATATCAGTGGTGGTTGTGAAAGGAACTGGTGGGGCTGCTGACCTGATTGCTTTATGCCTGGAAGAGTAAATTTGTAACGTTAAATTGACTTTTTACATAATGAATCCGATAGACACTACAAAACAGATTGAAACTTTTGCATGTCCTTTAATGAAACTAGACACATTTTTATTCGATAAGATCTTTAATGATATCTAAAGGGAAATATTTTTTTTTTACATTTTGTGGTGTTTTCAAAACAAGCTAAAAGTCTGAAAACAAATATTTAAATAAGGCTTTCACACAGTTAATAACAGATCCTTACATACCTTATTTGCATGACACGTGATCTATCTTTTTGCTAAATATTTGAATAAAAAAAAAATCGCTCGATACATTTATTTTGTTATGATGTCTGAAACTCTAATCAAGTATTAGTATTATTCCGAACAAAAGGTTCAAATTTAACTTTAAGTGTTATGTTTGTTTTTATTAAATGTCGTAATTCAACTCTGTACCGTTGATGTTATTTGTAGCTTTTCAAAACTGAAGAAGGAATTACCGATAATGATAACAAGACGTTTCACGAAAGAACATTTTAACAACATACTGGAAGTTTTCCAAATGATCATTGAAAAGGATTGGATGGTACAAAAATATGTTAAATGCTATGAAGCAAACTGATTCATGTTTAATATACAATAGTGATGATATTTAATAATACTATTAATTCGTATATTCTAACCAATTTGATTCGTTTAGGAATAGTCAAATGTTAAACTATACTTTCCAAGGTATATGCTATTGCACGGTTATTTTTAGAATATCTAAAAGCAAATTTACTTTGGAACGTCATCTAATGAATTCAATTTAGCTTAAAGTATAAAAAGAAAGTGTAAGATCGATTATTTGGAAAAAGTTAACATACATAAAATGTACATAAAAAAAAATAAAAATAAATGAAATAACAACTATTATGTGACAATATGATATCTATAAAATTCCAACAAAATTTAAAGATCTAAAAAACGAAAATATAATACACTGACGATTTTGATTAAAATACAGTCATAAATAAATAATATAACAATTATAGCCTTTGTATGAGGTCAATACAGAATATATCGACCTAAATAGGTATATCGACCTCGGACTTCGTCCTCAGTCAATATAATCCTTTCAGGTCAATATATCATTATATCGACCTCATATAAAGGCTTTAGCTGTATATCAATTGGCTTCAAACGTATAATGTATCGGTACTAACTTCAGCATACTATCATGAAGATGTTAACCTTGTGTTTTTATTATCCAATGGACTTGTCAATATTACAATATTCCAATCTTTTTCTGCGCATCATTTGTCTTTCTTTTAGAGATTCTTGCAAAATCATCATCGAATATTTCGAATCTGTCTGATTTAAATATCGCTTTTGTTTCTGTTGATTTGGCAAGCAATGTGTAAAGTTAACACAAATACAGTTGAACTCGAATACTTTTATGAATGATTACGTACCAATTAAAAAAAAAAGCCTGTTTTTGTCCGTTTGTCGTTATTCGTATATTAATATGGCGTTGTTACTATGATTTGTAAAATATTTCGTTATGTCCATTAAATAAGGTGTTGTAAATAATATGAAATGAGAGTAACACAAAATAAGAATTTTAAATAGCAAAACTATATTGGGATTGTTGATTTTGTATTTTAAACTGTTTTACTGTAAAAGAACAAGTTATATCATATGAGAAAGTTTCCATAGATTTTGGACAGCTGAAAACACAATCCTTCATGAAGTGCTACATTAAGTTGACATATCTGTAATGCATTCGTGACTATACGTTTTTACACGTTGTTATTTCCTTCTCTTTACCGGACGCAAATCATATCCATTTTATGGTAAAAGCCACTTAAAACGCTCGTCAAAAACATAAAACTGACAATAGATGGTTTAACAATGATACATTATCCGATACAAATAAAACTTGTGGTTGTATGAAATGTTAACATTGTATGTATAAAGTTGTTCAAGCATGCTTTTCAAATCACTGTTGTGTCAAATAAGGGGTTACATCATGTACATTACCCTATTTCATTTGACACTAGTGAGACACTATTAACTCTTTGTCTATACATTTTGTAATAACTGTTTGCAGATTTCAATATTTGACATCAAAGTTGAGGAACATGATAGACTATGGGAAAGAATTACTGATGGAATAATCAGAGCATGGTCCTTTGAAGAAAAACATGGTAAAATATTTCCAATAAAGGACCAAACGGTGATTAATCAAATCACAGACATATTTTATATTTTAAAGTCAAACACATGGCACGTTAATAAGACTGATTTTCTTTTAATAATCGGAGAATAAAAGAATCCAATCGTTCAAATAAGAACGATAATTTTCCACTGGTTGCACGCCATAATATTTCATCAGCATTGTGTTTAAGATGCATTTGATCACACTTAAATTTATTTAGATAACAACCTAGTTTGGATATTTTTCCATAATAAGTGTTTCTTGAGGACTGTTAAAATCAACTAATGCAATTCTGGTTTTGTGTATTTGTCATATTTATTCTACAATTTTAAAGGACACCAAAGAAGTGAAATTCATCATTTGTCTGTATGTTATGCATATTTCAATAGATGCGTATAAATCAGCTTTTAGAGTGGTTGTCTATTGAATTAAAATGAATACAGTTATGATCACTTATGATACTACCTCCTGTTGATATTTATTACTTATAATTTGGCACTGCACACGTTTGTGCATATCTCACACTTCAACTGGTGTCTTTACAATAAATCAATTGGATATGACTTGTATTGATACCCTCTTCTTGTAAATCAATTCATATAGGTTTTCATTAAGGTTTTTGTAATTCTAAGTTCTTATCTATTGAGTGAAGCTAATTGGCACTGATTTTACAGTCAGTTCAGTGCACTAAGATAACCCCGTTTTTGGTGGGATTCTTTACGCTCTCGTTTTTTTTTCTAGTTTTTGTAAAATTCTGTTGTCTCTTCGCCTTTATCTTTGTTTGCATGTAAAAAATAGTTTGGTTTCGACTCTCAAGTTCCAATGTCCTTTTTGGTATCTTTCTTCTCTCATGTACAACGTTCAACACACCTACAAACTTAACATAACACGTTGCACAGTGATCGTACTACAAGCATGTGTTGATATATTGTTATTACGTGACCGTAATGATTGTAGCGTACTTCCAGTAATAAGTGCTTCTGTGATGGCATGATACAATAATACATTATTAATGATAATACATTTCAAGAAAATGAACTTTAGAAAGCAAAAGACAAACGAAACCATTAGAATAAAAAAAAAGACAATATAAAAAAGAAGATGTGGTATGATTGCCAATTCGACAACTCTTCACAAGTGACCAAAATGACACAGAAATTAACAACTATAGGTCACTGTACGGCCTTCAACAATGAGCAAGGCCCAAAAAGCATAATCAGCTATAAAAGGCCCCGAAGTGACAATGTCAAACAATTTAAACGAGAAAACTTACGGCCTAATTTATGTAAAACAAATAGTTTTGCTGAAAGCTTTTCAAAAACAAAACAGTCTGAAGAACATAATAATCAAAACGAGCAGTAAAACATAAATAAGCAAATAACAAAAATAAAATACAAGGATTTGCTCCAGACTTGCAAATAGGTTAATTTCAATTATTGACTTATACATTGTTTGTACCGTGTAACTGCTGTTACAAAGGAGTTAAGTCTTTGTTTAACGTTGCAAGTACATAACGCAAATATGATTTCAGACGATGTTGACTTTGAAAAGGCCTAATTTTGTTCTAATGCTACAATGTGTAGGTCATCATTCATTGCAATTCATGTTCAAATTTGAACATGACATAAAAAGATTATTCTTTAACTTTGTTTCATTATTGAGCAAATGTTGAGAGCCCCATTGTTTTGCAGCATTATATCATGCTACACTATTATTTGTTTCCTTATTCGTCAACTATTTACTAATGATTAGTTTCAAAACCTGGTTCTTTTCGTATATATTCTCTCTCATCTCCCATGTTAACGTGTTGTCTTAAGGCATGCACGATAAACCCGGATAATGTTTCTTTTCAGTATAAAAGAAAGACTCTAGGTTTATACAGTTTGCACATATTTCTTATATTGGAGATTTTTTCATAAATTTATTTCTTAAAGTTGAGGAAGTTATGATGACTAAATATCTTTCTTTGAACGGTGGAGAATATATCTCAAAGTATGTTGCGAACATTGATGGTCTCACCAGGAGAGAACTGTTTGCTGGCTACAGTTTAGATGACCCAAATTCGAAGACAAATACAAAAGGCAAAAACCGCCAAGTAAGTTATTATTAAATTACCAAATGCGTTATAATATGCATTATATTGTCATGTTGCTACTATGGATTTGATCTTATTATGCAAAAAGGTATACCACGTCGATGTTTAGATACTTTTGTTGAAGACAACCATTAACAGTTCGGTTTATTCAACTGCACCTACCTCTTATGTTATTATCCAGTAAACACTTGAATAATTACACGTATGAAGTTAATTGTCAAGTGTATCTGTTTCTTTTCTGATCTCTCTGTGAAATCTCAGGTTTTCCGATAGAGTTTACATACCTCATAGTATTAGTTACTTAGTTTCCACTTAAGTGTAGGTAAAAAAGATTGTAAAAGGTATCTCAATCAGTAGTTATTCAGTTCCTAAAGTACTGCACAAATGATACCAAGATGCTTGCAAGAACTATACACACCTTTTTAATGAAATTAAAAGTAAGTGTTTAATTGAATTACATTTGTCATATTAGCTTTAACGTTTTCACGACAGTCATATTCTCTATGTCAATTTTATACACTTTCCAGAACTATGTGTTACAAGATAATCAACAACATTCCATTGATTGTGATTATCTCTTTTGAATTAAGTTGTTAACTTTGTTCCGTGTCCTGAAATATAAACATATAGGTTACCTACAATCGTGTATATCCATTTTAATCAATTTTGTCAGATATGACCCTAGCTTAAAAATGTCTTAGTCAAATATATAATCTATGGTAGAATGAACGAAAACTTACCTTACTTTTTTATCACATTATCTGTAATTGTTAAAAGCACGTAATTCAAGAACACTCGTTAATGCACAAATTAACGCACCGAAATACAAAATAACAAAAATACTGAAAATTCAAAATGGAACTTCCATAACCAAATGGGAAAAAGAGCTCACACACATCGAACGAAAGGTGAACAACCCTCATATTCCTGAATTGGTACATGCTTTACTTATATGCAATTCGATGAACTAAACCTGATTTATAACTACATGTAGCTTAACCTCTCACTTGTATGACAGTTGCTTAAAATTTCATTATATCAAAAAACAATGTGTGAACAAAACAACTAAACATAGTAGGTAAAAATGTCAAAAATAAAAGTACAGCAGTCAACATTGTATCTTAATGTTAATCATTACAGACACATTAAAGTATATGAACAAAGAAAAACACAAAGCCATATAGACAAAGCACACCAGCAAATCCAAAAGACCAGAATATATAAAATTACCTACTCACAATTCCACAAGGACGGGATGTAGAAGTACCTAGTTACCTACAATGGACATTACCATAAATAGACAAAACATACAAAACAGTGAAAGAAATAATTTACACATATTAACTTCTATTCTATATCTTGTTTTAAAATTGTTAACTTAGAATGATTTGTATACTCTCAAACGGGTTTTATATTGATGTTTTAATGTTTAAGGATGTATTTGCCACTTCTTTTCATGCTGGTAAGACCGATATGATGGATCAGATACTTAACAGTGACGAAAAATTCTCAATGACAAAAAGTACCTTCCATGGATTATGGAAGCAGGTATTATTTTTTTGTGTTTTTATAGAGATTGTTTTTTTTTTTTTTTAACATTTAATATCTCACGCAAATCTGTTAAATCTTAAAAAGAACGATATAACACGTTAGCGTTTGTAGGCAGGGTCTCTTGATTTTTTTTAACCATAAATATTTCAACTCTGAAAGTGTAACAAGAGAAATCCATTTAAGTAGCCGGTTCGATCAACAAGTTTGTATTTTTATACAGGTTAAAACGATGATTATCATATATTTTATTCTTAATAAGAATTCAAATTGCACGAGTTCGCTACCTATCTATATCTTTAATTCTGCTTATATAGGGTTATAATACTGTTGCAGTCTTCGGAGGTCACACATATTATCAATAATAGGGTTTAGACTAAAATACACACTAAAACCGGATGCATATTATTGAACCAATTCATTGAAAAAGTGTGTTCTAGACTTTTTATAATTTGGATATACGTTTTGGTATGCAATAAATCAAAAAGTAGAATTTGAGTCAAATAACTAAACATGAATTTAAAGTTAATACCCCTTTAATGCGTTTACGCTAAACATTAGATGCATTGTGGTTATACAAGTTGACCATATATATTAAACACACTTGATCAATTAATGATTGTTTTCTTAACAAGTAAGTACGTATTTTTCATTAATGTAGGAAGATCTCTCTATACGGTGTTGTTTGGTGTTTCTTTTCATCTGTCGTATGTTCCACAGATACTATTTAAGCATTGATAATTGAATGTTGCGGTTGCATGTAAAACATTCGTGATATTCTAGTTAAAACTATTTAATTTTCAAATTAACATATTTTAGGAGATAGCAGCAGAAGATGACAAGATACTGCAGGTAAAGCTTAATTTTGATTTGATTTAAGATTTGTTATTTTCATTAATTTCCTACATGTCCTAGAGGACGAACTGTAATAATACTTGTTCATAATGTTTATAAACAATGATATACAAATAAAAACTTACACTTAAATTGTGTAATTTAAGGAATACACATTTAGAAATTTAAAACAAAACTATTTACTTTGGAATTCCGTATCAGTGGGAAATATGTACTTTCGCAGGAGCAACTACAATGTAACTTTACAAAGTGGAGAGATTATATAACATATTCTTTTATACTAATCGTTGTTTAAATCACATTTACACTTGTTGTTCCTATAATTTGATACACAATTCACAATGTATCAGGGTAATATACTTTTTGTATCTAAATCATTAGCATTATTCTGCGCCTTCAAGGCAATTAGTTGGATTGGCAAAAATACCGTGTCGATGAACAGACTTGAGGCTAATGTGCATTAAATAAAAGATAAACAGCAGCACTATGCAAAATTGAACATATTATATATATCGAATTATTAAAAGTCTTGAGTATAGATAAATATATCTTAATAAAAAAGTCCAATATTTCCAGATAATGTATATATTATTTAATATTCACAAGTACTTTCATGTTTTACAACAATCTTCAGGTGAAAGGCGAATAATTGTAACTATGAGACGGTAGTTAAGTACGTAACGTCATAAAACAATTACAAAAGGGAGATAAACGTTCTAAAGTAAAATATAGAAAGCCAATTGTAACGCTATTGAAAGCCTAATGCGCATTTAGTTTTGGCTTGAATTAAGTTATAAAATGTTGTTCCTTTATGGATCTTCTAATGTCACATTCGACATTAATTAAATAGAACGGGAAAATTCTAAAAAGCCCTCTACCGGAACGATCTAAATGTTCGCTAAGAGGGATTTTCCTATGTTGCGGCTTCCATAAGGTGAAATATCCAATAAAGAGTACTAAAAACAATTACACCAAAATCAAGAAAAACTGAAAAAAATACAACGTGAACAAGAAAATAAACAGGATTGACTTTAGGTCCTGAACTTAAGTCATTGACGTACCTTGGAATATATATACTTATCTTACCTCCTATAAATTTCTAGGAATATGATTGGTTAAAATCATCCACGTGGATACCGTGTATATTCCATCTTAGGTTAGTAGGGAGGCGCGGCTTATTTCAATACACGGTTTGTATTGGAGTAACGACTTTGGCACTATTTGATTATGTAAATGTTTTGAAAGTTCTGTTTATTATTGTTATATCAAGGTTGTTGATTTTAAATTGTTATTGTTGAAATTAGTTTTTTTCGTGCAGACCAAAAGAAGTAGGTTCTTAAAATTGATTCACCCCCAGTTTTTGGTGGGGTTCGTGTTGCTCAGTCTTTAGTTTGCTATATTGTTTCTTGTGTACTATCGTTTGTCTGTTTGTCTTTTTCATTTTGAGCCATGGCATCGTCAGTTTGTTTTTCTATTTATGAGTTTTACTGTTACTCTGGTATCTTTCGCCCCTCTTTTGAACACTTTTATATAAAAATAAGAAGATGTGGTATGATTGCAAATGAGACAACTATAGTCTAAATTCAACAAATAAAGATAGTCGATAACATAAATGCGTTACATAGCTTCACTCTCAACCCCATATTGAATTTACTGACCCGGTATATATCATATTAGGTCACTAACACACTATGTAACTAGTTAAACTGATTTACGGACGCTGCTCTAAATCTTATATTAACCTCTCGTTATTTTATCCGCAGTTATTATAACGTTTTATCAAAGAGGATTTCCTATTCCTTTATCCATTGAGAAAACAGAAATTTTATAGTCATACAATAGATATTCTTAACCATTTACTAGAGTGTGTGTCCGAGTGATATAGAAGATCCGAACGCACCTTTATATATAGCGGACGAACTCCTCAAAGGTATGGGCAGTTTTATTTATATATTTTGATGGCTAAGTAATGTGTTCACTCGGATATCATCTCATATTAGAGGAATATGCATTCAACATCGTAATGGTTGTGTATACTGTTTTTATACGACAGTGCTTGTTGAATTGCACTAACGGCTTAGGAGTCCACCCTTTTGGCTTAGGATAAAATCAATTCAGTTTGTATTATTGAAAGAAATATGAGACGTGATTAAGGTTAAAACATATTGTTACAACTCTTCCGTCATCTGTCCAACAGATGTCTCCGAATGATCAACAATAAGTGAAGTCTACAATCTATAGTTTTCTTTAAGTCGTATATAAATATGCATTATGTTTTCCAATTAGACAACTATCCACCGAGGTTTAAATGAAACAAATATAAAAACACACACCACACATGCCACAAGCACGTGGACATATTTTGCCTGAATCTGCATACGTTTTTTTTTTTAATTTGTGAACTGTTGGTATGCCTGGTGAGGGTGATTTCTGAGTCTCGATTTTTACACAAACGATTTTAACAGTCACTGTAGTGTATCTTTTGTGTAAATTTGTATTCATATTTACATCATTTTCACTTTTATGTCATTGTCAAATTTAATATCTACTACACTTTTTTGTTGACGTTTTTTTTTTAAATAATCTGTACGTTTGTTTATTTTTTTTTAATCATTTTAGTGTTGTGTTGTTGTGATGCATGCGTGGTTTATATTTGTAATGCATGTTTACACAGTTATGGCTGCCGAATCCAAAAATTGGCATATGAACCCATCATATAAAAAAATATGATATGATTGCCGACTCTGAACAAGAGACCAAATGACACAGCAATTACTAATTGTGGATCACCAGACGGCCTTCAACAATAAAACCAGTACATCATAGTCAGCTATCAAAAACCTCAGACTGGTCTATATACACAATAATAAGCGCAAACATAATATGATACAATTTATGACAGCAACACATCTTTCAATTATATGATCCTGACATAGGACAAGCACATACAAAATATGGCGGGGTTAAATATAACCAGTTGGAAGGCACACACAGTTTTCCCCTAACATGGGATAGTGGTATTACAGTACTCACAGTTACTGAAAGCTATCTCAAAGCCTATACACACTCCTAAAAGAAATTAACCAAGACTTAAACATTATGACATTTTGGGGGTTGTCAATATAAGAAATCTGTTCTTAAAATAACTGTCATGTAACATGTTTGAGTGGAAGGTTTATCCGGCTATAAAACCAGATTTATCATATCCCTTGGAAATAACACGCCAGAAAAGGAATATGGCAGTTGTTTTTCAGTTGGTTCGTTCATAGAAATCGTTTGATTTGTTCAGTTAATATGGAATGACCCTTTAATTTACCTTGGAGTCCAGTATTTTGTTGTACTCTTTAAATAGTTTTAATGTTAGCAGCAATCTTCTATCAGGAAAACCATGGTAGGAAAGGTAAAACATGCACTATAGTTTTGACTTGGAGATTCGTATACCCCATATACAAAACCTAAATAGAAACGAACGCCCAAATATAAGGATGGAATTATCTAGACTTTTGACTATAGAGTTATTAACCGATCCGTCAAATTAACAAAACATTTCTTTGATTTTCTTTAGGCCTTTGTTGTTCTAAAATTGGAATGATTACATGCTGCAAACGCTGCAGGAAAAAAGACAAAGGAGACAATAGTGACAACATTTCAGACACGGTGCCAACAAATGAGACATTGCTAGTTGCTGTATTGTTAAATAAAACACAAAAGGCAGCTGCATTATGGCACCAGTTTGATAATCCAATGAGTAAGCTTATAATTATAAACAACTGATATTAAATGAGCTGTAGATTATAGATTATTATATGGCATTTTCCATATTGGCCCTGGTATCAGCCCTAGGCTCCCATATCAAACCAGAGGGCTTAAGCCCTAGGGCTTGATATGGTTCGTGGGCTGATACCACGGACCATATGGGAAATGACATGTAATTATCTATTTATCACATATTTTCAAGCAAGAGAAAAAAGATAGCATATACCAAATTATGTTTGATATTTTCAACAAAAATTCAATAAAACATTTAACGAAAAGAAAATAAAAAAATGTATCACAGTGAGTTTACAAAGTTCGTATCACAGTGAGTAAACAAAGTTTTGTGAAAAGTTTAGCAAATAATTAACAATAAATATATTAATTCTCAGAATTTTAAATATTAAACGACTTAAAGTGTTACATTTCCAATTAATGCTGAAGAAGAAACACCATATCGCTACTATGATTTGGAAATATGTTCCGCTTGAACTTTCGATGTCATACATCAATCACTTTTCCATTGTGGCGTCATATATTTTATAAATTCTTTATAACGTCAAAATTTTACGAGAACTTTTGTTTTTTTCACTGTTGCTTTTTACATTTTGTTCTACTACAGCAGATTCGTAACTTTCTAAATTTCTCATTTTTCATATGAATTTACATGCATCGTCATTTGATCTGTAAGAATCCTTTTCTGATCGTCTAGCTGCTTCAGATGGCAACTTTTTTACAAATAGTTTTTGATTGACAGGTTACCGGAAGTTAAACTCGGGAGCTCGATATGGATTTCGAGGGCTGATATCGATATTGGCCCCCAGGGCTGATAACCAACCTTGACCTCCGGCTATTATTGGCCATGCAAAAAACGTACATATCAGTACAAAATATGTGATAAATGATAATTAACTATACGTGTAACCAAATGCAACTATATCCGAACGCATTCATTTGTGTGAATTTGATATATTATGTGAAGCCCCTGTTACAGCGTGATCTACAAATAATTACGCTCAAATGATTCAACAAAATACTATACGTTAGTACCAATATATTTAAAGACACATTATCCTTCGACTTTTCCTAGAATTGCCTTGCTAAGACAGACTAAGTTTGTAGCACATATTGTGTTAATGACTTTTTCTTAATTGGTCTGCCTATTTCCTATTTGCTTTCTATTTTAAAACCTTCTGCACATAGACACCCTTTTACATAATAAAAGTCTTTCATGTAGAAGACACCAAAACCAAATTAACCGACCTATCAAAATAGCAATATATTATTTGTCATTATAACAGGACACATAACAGGAAGTACCTGCGAATCATTCTTTAAGACTGGTCAGCATAACTAACCATTTTATTCGTTATCATATACGGCAGACGTTTAGAATTTTTAAATTTGAAATTATGAAATGCGACGAAAAATCGGGCAATTTACATCATTGGTTTTGTTATAAATACAAAATGTGGATATCCCGATCATATTTAAAACGACAAAAGGCATACATGTGTAAAACAAAACATCTCAATTGATGTTATAGATAAGGTATTTTACAAAGGAAATGGAAACAAAGTATGGGTTTCCTACAACGGAAATAAAACAAACAATGAATGTTAAAGCCAGTGAAATATAAACCTATTTCGCTAATGATTAGTCAGAAACACGTTTTTTATATTTTTTTCATCTCATTTAAACCACATTTTCAACCATCTATAACTTCTTAAAATGGCAAAATCAACAGAAATAAAAAAAATGAAGGTCTGTCCGCATCAATTTTTTTTAAGTTGATGCAAAGTTAATTACAGTTTAACTAAGTTACTTTTGGTATCTAGTCACAGTTTCTTTTATGATTCAATAAACATATTGTTACCATATTTTTTGCATGAAATAAGGGTGATGAATGCATATTTCTGGTAAGAACATGTCACGTCTCAGTTGATAGCTATATTTATACAGATATCAAAAACATATGTTTTTTTCTATAATTGTGCCTGTAAAAAGGGAGATAATTGGCTACTTCCGGTTAAGGAATGTAACTTTCGGCCTTTAATGATAGCTTTATTCACACTGTTTCCAAAAATAGATATAGAGGTATATACTTATGACTGACATGAGGCATATGTGCCCTTCCGGTTTATAGAATGTCACTCTCGGTCTGAAATGATATGTGTATGTATGTTCATTTAAAAGAAGAAATGGCTTCAAGGTACTTGTTTATACAATAAATGTAAATATGAAAATAAAATTGAGAATGGAAATGGGGAATGTGTCAAAGCGACAACAACCCCGACCATAGAGCAGACAACTACTCCGTTATCTGTTTTGGTTACGGAGGAGATAAACTTACAGGAAAACAGTTTTGGGGAAATAACTCTTACAAAAAAGTCTTCGACTTAACAAGATAAGTTTTAAAACCGCAATAACTGTTCGATATGATACAAAAAATTTCTAATATGGTTTGGTAGAGCATACAAATTAACTATTGAAAACAAAATAAAACATAAAATTTATTTTAACGTATCAAAAGCATTCAACGATGGTTTCAATTTTCTCGTTAAACAAGTTTAAGACGTTTTGAGGCTGAGAAAGATACTTTTCCATTTTACAAAACATTAAGCCTGGTAATATTATAATTTCGATAGCATCGCTATTAAATTTTTATCAAAGAAATCGTACGAAAAATGATGACAATAGCATATGAAGTGTATCAAAGTATGAGTGCAAAACAATATGCTATTATGATATAATAAAGCATTCATCGAGAACATATGTCCGCCATTTGACTTGCAAGCAGGCAACCTACGTTATGTACCACTAAAAGAATCGTTGCAACGGTTGGTGATTATGTTGAACGCATTTATCCAATCGAACTAGAGATAAAGGATCCAGCAGAGGCAGTTGATTCTGCCTCATACCTCGACTTACATCTAAAAATTGACAAACTTAACGACAAAAGAGATGATTTCAGCTTCCAAATTGTGAACTTCCCATTTTTTATGTAGCAACATTTCAGCAGCGATTGATACAATACTATCAGGCTTGTATTTCCTAGAATGATTTCCTTGATAGAGGGTTGCTGCTCACAAGGGAGCTAATTAACCAAGAGTTCCAAATGGTGAAGTTAAAACTATCTCTTCGTAAGTTTTACGGACGCCATCACGAGTTATGGAATACTCGTCTTACAGAAGATATCGGATATGTTCGTTACTACAATCCCCTTCCGATCCCTTTACACGAATTTGACCTACCGAATTATACAATCTACCGGATTTGTTATAACATGAGCAACACGATGGATGCCGCATGTGAAGCATCATCTGCCTACCTTTCCGAAGCGCCGGAGATAACCCCCAGTTTTTGGTGGGGTTCATGTTGTTTAGTCTTTAGTTTTCTATGTTGTGTCTTGTGTACAATTATTTGTCTGTTTGTCTTATTTCTTTTTTAGCCATTGCGTTGTTAGTTTATTTTCGATTTATGAGTTTGACTGTCTCTCTGGTTTTTTCAGCCCTTCTTTTTTTTAGACATCTTATTTTTTTGTTGTTATTATTTTATATTTCAGTCTTCTCTCACGTATGATTTCTGCTATACAAACCATAACATCATTTGAACACAATTATTATGTGCATATAAATTATGTTAACACTGATACATGTATATGTTCTTTTCAAGATAACAGATTTAACAGATTAAACTAATTGAAAACACCTTCTAGATTTTAGCTAATTTATATGTTATAAGGAACATTCATTTACAATTTTAAAAAGCTGCCAGGTAGTTGTGAATACTAGCCTACAGACTTTGAATGTGCTAGTTCAATGCACACTTGTAACAAGCTGTGACTCCGATCCTAATTGACATTGATTCTGTCATTCTGTCTGAGGTATTTTTTTCTCTTCGGCATATTGCAAGTGGCTGAAGTGACGTTAAATACCAACCACCAAAAACAACAAGAGTCTACTAATATAATTTCTTAAGACCCATTGCGAAAATTCATTTCTAGAAAGACATTAATATTTGAAGGTTTATATGCCTTAACTTAATGGTACGTTCTTAAAAGCCAACATAAACTGTCAACTCAAGGTATTCCCGTGAACTCAACGTTATCAATACGTTCTTTCTAAATTGATAGTTTTCCTCTTCCATGTTTTGTCCAGTACTTGTTTTGGCATGTATAATGCTATGTACTCAAACATTATATCAGTTTTAGCTATGACTAATGAGTATCTCATTAAATTTTAAAATAATTAAGGGTCTTCTAATGATAAAAATTTGCTAGTTACCATGGCATTAAATCGATTTTGTGGATCATTCATTTCAGTGACAGCCCTGATTTCAAGCATGTTTCTTACCTCTTTGGCAAACATTGCGGAAGAAAAGTTTGAGGAAAACCGCCAGAATCAATACCAGTCTCATGCAAAGTAAGTTTATTGCTGAAACGTGAATTGGGGTATGGCAATCCTACAGATGTATGTTTACATTGTCATATTCAATATTTATTTTACATTTGATAAATTAGTATAGAAATAAAAAGATGTGAAGTGATTGACGATTCGCCAACTACATTTGTGTACCCTTCATAAACATAATAACGGCATAAGCAGCTTTATATCCCAGTACTACCTCTAATGAGCAAACCAAATAACGTATAGTAATAGATAAAAGGCCACCATCTGATCAAATGTAAACGACTAAACGAAATGTTTGTTAACACACCAGGCAAACCACTATCTTTGAAAAATAGACGCTTCAGTAAAAAAACCTCATAATTTATTCTTTGATTCTTACAGGTTATTTTTATCACGAGCCGTTCTTCTGTTGGAAAAAATGTTTACTGACGATGAACAAATGGCTATAGAGGCTCTTGATAACGTCTGTGATGTGTGGGGCAATATTGAAAGTCCCCTCCACTTCGGACACCAATTCAATATAGAGGAATTCATATCTCACTCTTCCAATCAGAAAGATGCAAGCAAAAGATTGTTTGCGTATAACGTAGTTTCAGTTGAAGACATCCATTTAGATATAGAACATGAACCAGGGACTACAAATGCTCCACCACGGGAACAAAAAGTGACACCTACAACCAGTATTTACTCGATTACTATTAGTGGGTGGTTTTCATTTATAAAGGTATGTTAACTTTTTTTAACAAAAACACCATCTGTCACCTTGAAGTAAACTTAACCTGAATAACTTACAAGTCACTTATTCTAGTAAACTGAGCAATTGATAATGCATTTTTACTTGCAAACGTACAAAACAAATACAGTGTAACCTGTCTAATCCGAGACCTGAATATTCCAACATCCTGCTTTAACCGACACATTTTCAAAGTTAAAAAATATGACCACCCTGGCAAAAAAAGAATCCTGAGTATACTGATACCCTGCATAATCCGACATTTTGTTTATGGTCCCTAAGTGTGTTGAATAACACAGGTTGCACTGTATATGAATAAACGGCGCAGAACGAGGAAAATATTTTGATAAAAAAACAACCGCCTCAACACAAATAACCAACAAGTGCATGCATGTTAACAGAAACATATTTTCTAATTAAGTATAAGTAAATGTCTGATATATACACTGAATTATATGGGTAATTCACGGACAAACACATTGTGTTGATGATTTAGACGTTTTACATTTGAACAAAAATCTTACCGTTGCATTTAAACATGTTGAATGTAATCAACAGTACTTAACCGAGGTTTAAAAAATAATGATTCCATAATTGATAAATAGATAATACAACGAACAAACACTGTGAGAAACGCATGTTCTTTACATGTAGAGCTGGTGATATTTTAGTTGCCTTTCTATGTATCACAAAGAATGTTAATACATCAACATCAAAAAGTGTGTATCATTACTTTAACATGCGTACATTTACTAAATTACATATAACATTTAATTGTAATTCTATATAACTGAAATCAGTGTTTTGAAGGAAACATGTTGTTTGGTATGTGGATAATTTATACGAGATGATATTTATTGCAAAATCAAATAGTCTTGCAACACTGGGGAAAAAATGGCTAAAGACTAATTGACTGTAAGTTCCGATTAAGAATTTTGTGGATGATGACAGAGATAACGATGGACTTCGACAGGTTGCCATTTGCATGGTTTTATTCGATATCATTACTGCAAACCTTTTTAACCGTTTGTTTATATTTTACCAGACATTTTTACACAAACAGATAGCGTAACTGGTTCTTTTCTTTTGGATATGATGTTTGTCTGGAAACACAATATTGTCGTGACAAAGCGAAAATAAAACGATACACTGTATATAATTCAAAATAATTCAAAATGTTAGTGTCTTAGTCTTAGCTACTTCCTATCTACCATAACAATGTGTTTCATGTTGTAATTCTTGGAAATAAAACAATCATAAGAATCTTAACTTTGCAAGAAAAACCGTCAGAAAATACCTCTATACTGTCTGAGTGTTCTTTAAAAGATATCTTAAAATATTGATGTCTAGTAAGTATTTTTTTATCGTGTTTATCTCTTTGTAATGACAAACGCGATGATTTTAATTTTCCTATAGTCAACTTTCCATTTCTGTGTAGCAACATCCCAGCGGCACCAGCATATGGAGTATATGTGTCTCAATTGATACGTTACTCTAGAGCTACATTTTTTTTGTAGCTCAAAGTACGTTGATTTTGTTGAACGAGGAATACTGCTTTCTCAAAAGTTGCTAAGACAGGGCTTTGAATCAATCAAATTAAGGTCATCACTCATGAACTTTTACGGTCGCCATCATGAGCTGATTGGCCATTATTACAAAAGTGTGTCAGAAATCATATCTGATATTCTTCCTCAGTCATAATAACCTTCCATCATTACCGAACTGAACAAAGAAATAACACGACGGGTGCTGTATTCGGTGAAGGAAATGCTTACCCTTCCGGAGCACCTGATTTCACTCCCGTTTTTAGTGGAGTTTATGTTGTTTCTTTTTTATTATTTATAACTGTTGATGTAAATGTCCTTTGGTTATGTGAGTCTTTGTTTACTCCTTGGTTTTTGATTGTTATTGTCTTTTAATTTCAGAACCACTGGAGAAAAAAATCTATGCTAACAATTGTTACAGCACCTGTTACAAAAATAGTTATCCATCTAGTGAGTTTATAATGTATTCAAAACAATATTCAAATTTAATGACACATCGAGATATACAGTGTACACACGAGGATATAATTGATAATACACTGAGTTAGGTATTTTGTATACCATGTAAATATAAAAGCACACGATGACCACACACTTAAAAAAGAGTCATATGGACACACAAACATATTTCAACACAATAACGGTATTTTTAGATGGTGACTTAGGATTTGTTTAATTTCCTGTCTTTTAACTGCAGTAATGTGATGTATTTTTGTGGATATTTGATTTCAAATTATGCCAAAGTATGACCCTTCAGAAATTTCCTTAAAATAGTAATGAATCCATTCTAGTGCAGAATGTCGTTGTTGTTCTTTGGTTAGAATGTTCTTTAAGGATATATAAAGACAAAATATATAATCAAAGTGTTTAATGCTAGTACTGGTAATGAAGCCAGAGTACCAATCGGTTCTTAAGTAGTACCAGTAGTCATAAATGTATCACCACAGTATTATTGATACATTAAAGTGTGCATTTGGATTTATAATATCTCTTTAATGTTGCCAAATGTCAAACATTTAAAACCCAAAAGATAATATAATAATTAAATGACTCAACAAAAAAAGGGTCTGAAATCGTAGCTCGCCATCATTTTCTATGTTAATATACATATATATCCTAAAAAAAATTATGGCTAATGAATATCGATGTAACAACAGTCATTATGCACAGATTTCATCCGTGATAAAATAGGACACAAAATAACAACAGATTCCCTAACCAGTTTTGCATTTCATAATGTATATTTATTGATTACAGGGTGAATAAACTGATACCGTAATGCAAACACTTATCATTGTAGTCTCAATACCCAAGTTATCGAAAGAATGGTCCGTTAAGAAACGAAGTTCATTTGCTTGTGAAACAGAGTACATTTTTGTTCTTGATGTAAATATATAAGATGTATGACACTTTTCTCAATATAAAAACACAATTTTTGTTTACAAAAAGTTTTTTTTTAAGTTTTTGCTGGTAACCGTAGCATTGACAACATTTGTATTCTTTATAAATAATAAACTAATTTTTTCAGCAATTTTTCATCGCGGCTTTAATGATGTTTAGCTATTTCCTTACTCAGGACCTGCAACCTGGTTCAATAAATCTACTAGAAGGTTTGATCTTCATATACATGTTGGGTGATTTATTAGAGGAAATATGGAGCATGGTAAGTGATAATCTTTTTTTATTTAAAATTTTGAAAATCATGATGCAAATATTTTTATACTGGGTTCTCGCTTGTAAAGTATGTTATACAATTTTTGTTCATCAGTCTGTTGTTCTTTGTTAAACTAACGTACATAAAAATGAAAGTAACTATTTCAGAATTTCATCTTCTTTATGTTTTATTATAAAATGTTTCTGTCACAGAACATGTAGAATTACACAATATTAAATGAAACTTAATTGCATGTATCTCAAAGTGTTAACACAATCTGATGACAGATATATATTGTACAGGTTGGATGGTAATTCAATATTGCTTTCTTTATAGATTCGTCCGCAAAAGGATTGCCACTGGTCACCACAGAGAATATTTCTTCACATATTTGATATTTGGAACATTTTGGATTTTTTGTGCTTCATATTGTACATACTTGGATTTTGCATGCATATTTTGGACTCAGATTTGATAGCACATACAAGGCGAATTTACAGTATAGCATTGTTTATCATGTTTCTTCGACTATTAAATTTTCTGTTATTGTCTAAACGGTTTGGTATAATCATAATCATGGTGAAAGAAATGGCAAGTATAACATATATACAAATTTAGAAACGACTGTACTATAATTTAGCCTACCTAATTTGATGAAATGCGTCTGTTATTAGTAATGATCGAATTACAATTCCAACAACCTATACAAACCATATACAAGCCAATCCTTTGTATACAATCAATACACCAGTATATAATAAAACAACAGTACAATGCATTTTAAATACCCTTTTTTTGTGAGACCCTCCACTTTTTAACAGTTATGAAGGGACCCCTAAAGTAAAAGTAGTTTATGGGTTCTGACATTTTTGTATTTTACTTTAGGGGTCCCACTCCATAAACATATATATTTTTTGTATTAATATCAAATTTAAATTTTTACCTGTTCTAAGTGAATCAAATTTTATATCTTCACATCTTTTTATTTTGTTTCTCTCATATAGATATTGCCATCTATTTTTATTTTCTCATTAAATAATGTGGGATGCTCAAAGTAAAAAGAGTGCTATAATGCCTACTTTTACTTAAGGGGTCTCATAAACTTTGGTATATATAGGTATTTATTATAGGAACCAAAAGGTAAAAGAGTGCTAAAATGACTTCTTTTACTTAAGGGTCTCATAAACTACGGTATACATAGATAATTTCAAAAGGACCCCTCAAGTAAAATAGTGCTATACTGTCTTCTTTTAATTTAAGGGTCCCACAACCTACGGTATATATAGGTAATTTTCATGGGACCCCTAACGTAAATAAAAGTGCAATAATGCCGTCTTTTACTTTAGAGGTCCCACAAACCATATACAATTCAATACTATATAAACAATCAATACACCAGTATATAATAAAACAACAGTACAACGCACATTAGATACACTTCTTATTGTGGGACCCTCCACTTTTTTAACAGTTATGTTGGAACCCCTAAAGTAAAAGTAGACCAAATTATGACACGATGACTATCAAATTCTGATGGTATAACACTTCGAACAAAAGCGACAAAAACAAGCATATAAAAACTTGTTCTTTTATTGTTGTAATTGTATTTAAAAACGTGATATTAAAAAGTGGCCAATTGAAAATAAAAAAACAGATTTTAAAGAGTTTAACAAAACCATGAATACAACAAAACCGTTCAATAAAAAGTTCATAATACATCACATACATGGATTGCTTTATAAATTGTGGATTTTTGTCGTCCCTTTCGCATGATCTCAAAGCATTTTGCAATTAATTATTATCCGACATACGATAATCAGGCAATTCTCAAAGGTAACCGTAAATCCAAACAGTATGTTTAAACATGTTACCAAACAGAAATGTATTAAGAAATCTCAACTATCTTGTAAAAAGTAAAAATAACATAAATTTCGAACTTGTAAGAAAATGCAAATGCAAATTGTCTAATCAAATGACAAAATTAGTCGCAAGAACTTAGCAAACGAATGGATAATAACAAAGTACGTTGTTCAAGTATCGAAGTATCGACAGCATGTAATCATTTATAAAATTACCAATTGTTGTAATTTTAAAGTCAGTTTATTTTAATTCAAAGTAAAAGATTAGCACACATCAAGATATAAGGATATATACCGAAGAGACTTTTTTGTCGAAATGCGCATCATGTTCAGTTACATTGGTACAGTTTATTTGTAAACTAACACGTGTTCGAATTCTAGGCTGATAAACGGTTTCTGTTGGTACATAACACAGGACCAAGTATATTTGGCACTGGCATGCAAATATAAATACTGTGTACTTTTGAAACTTGAAGTTACCAATTTAATTGTATATTTATAGCTTGAGAAATATATGCATACCTAACATTGTCGTCCCTTATCCGGCTAAGGTTTTGATTTATTCAGCTCTTTTTTATGAAGGTTCAATATGTTGCTATCGAGTATTACTGACGATATATTGTTTTCAAATTACTAGACAATTGGTACATTTCATGTTATAAATTTAATACACCCTTTTCTAAAGGACCCAAACTTCCTATGGGTAGATCTTTTTATTATAAATATAATAAAGGGGCTTAAAAACCGTACAGAAAAGTGTATTACTAAGCATGTTCGAATAAAACAGATTTTATGTTTTCAGCTTGTGGATTTGATGCAGTATTTGGTAATACTTACCATCCTTATATTTGCTGCTGGCGTTGTGTATCATGCCAATGTTTACCCAAGCCATACAATCGCTGGACCCAAAAATATTGAGTATTTGAGAACATGGACAATTCTTCAAATTCCATACTGGCAGGTTTATGGCGAACTATTTATGGATACATTAGAAGGTTTTACATCCATTTTAGCATATTTTTGAATAAAACTTATTTCAGCTATTTTAGAAGTTTCCTTTCAGAAAAATGTGTCACACCATGCATGAACCTTTTATGAATTCTTTTATTCTTCAGTGTGTCAGGAAATTATATCTTATCTGTGCCAATTACACTTGTGTAAAAAACTTCTATCCACAATTTAGTCTTAGTTAATGGTCAAACTATATATTTACTCCACATACAAACGTTGGTGGAACATAGTTTATGTATAGAAATGAGATATGTAGTACGTTAAAAACTTTTTAAAGGCATACATGTATGTACAAATGTACTGTGTCAAACAATAGTGTCGATAAACTTGCGTGGAGACGTCCTTATAATATCATGAACATCTATGGGTATATATTCGTAAATCATTCACAGACAAACAAATTCGTAATTTTTTAAACATCATTGTAAACTGTTTAAAAACAAATAGCTAACGATAATATAATAAAAGCCACTAAGTAAACATTTTTCTTCGGAAGTTTGTCGCGCTGGACCATAATTCAAATTTAAGTTTCTTTATATATCTATAAATTCCTCTGTACATTATAGTTTCCATGATATATTCCGTAAACCTGTTTATTTTAAGGCAATGACGATGCAGGTTGCAAGGATGACGCTACAAATTGTGCAACAGGAGATTGGATAACACCAGTAATTGCTGCTGTTTATATGATGTTAACAAACTGGTTGTTGTTGAATATTGTTATAGCTATGTTCAGGTATTTTATACCGTTGATTGGTTATTCAATGTAGTAATTCAATAGTAAATATAGATACAAAGATGAGGAAAGAGCGCAAATGAAAAAAGGTAACAGTATGTCGATGAAATTGTTTGTTCATCTTGACAGTTATTCGAAAAGGATTGTATGTATTAAATAGTAGAAATTAAAAGCGCAATTAATGTTTATAAATACAGTAAAAATTAATAATGTATTAGCTACTAGTGGAAAAAGTGACATACGAAACATCATTTTTAAGTGGAATAATAGGGCGGATAAAGAGGGAATGTTGATTTAAACTATTTCCTAGCTAGCTTATAACACATTGAAATATCCTCAATTTTAAAATCTTAAAAATTTTATTTAAAAACTTAGAGACACGCTGTTGATATGATTTAGTCCTATTTGACGGAGTAATTCTATATCCTGGTACTATATATATATATATATATATATATATATATATATATATATATATATATTTACCCGTATTTAGATAAAAGTAGTTTGCCTATATAATACTGTCAAACTGTGCGCATAACTAACTATCGAAATAATCCTAATGATAATAAAACTACCGTATTTGTTTAAAAGAACTGTAAAATCGATTTTATCAGCCACAATACAGGCACTATAAAGGAGTAAACTTTTAAGATTTTACGTCTTACAAAGTTAATCACAGGAATATTCAAATCAATACGTCGAAGCTGACAATGCCATGGTATGCCATGATAATAAATATCTAAGGAATATATGAAGTTTAGCTTTTTTTTTCAAATCAGTCGGTAATGAATTATTTTGACTTCAGATTTCTAATTTATTTTGTTATTCCTTGATGTTGCGTTGTATGTACACAATTAGTTTTCTGTTGCAGTGCACGATTTAAGGAAATTCGAAAAAAATCCGAACAGAAATGGCGTTACTATCGACATTCAGTTATAATTGATTTTGAAGATAGAATACCTTCACCACTCAATTTTCCATTTAGAATTTTCAGTTTCTTATGGTACACTACAAAATGTCCATGTTGTCCATGTTATAAGAAAACTATAAAAGGTAATGTAATGTAAACGTGTGGTAATGATAGAAATATTTATGAATATAATGACAGCCACTGTACAATATAATATACGGGGTGACTAGAAAACAGTTAATATAAAATGTTCAGTCTTCAATTTTGGACAATAATCCATCTAATGAATGGCAATTTGTTATATGAATGATTATACATCCTCGGATTTCAAATGTTTGGCTTTGAGCGTTCCTAATGAAGGTAAATCCAGAAAAGCGCTTCAGACGCATGAAGTTATTAAACGTGTTGTTTTCAATTTTTTACATCACTGGGTCGATATCTCTGCTGGTGGACTATCAGTCCCCAAGCTTATCATCAGCTCAGTAGTCAGTACTTCGGTACTGACATGATTTTACAAACTTTTCTAAAATTGTCCGTTTATACATTTTGAAATTATTAAGAAACTAAGGATTCAACTCCCTCAGGCAAAGTGGACTTTAGATGAATTTGGCTATCAATTTTAGGTATTTTTGTCATATAGCTCTTCAACAAATTCGGTACTTATACATCCTCGGATTTCAAATGTTTGGCTTTGAGCGTTCCAGATGAAGGTAAATCCAGAAAAGCGCTTCGGACACATGAAATTATTTAACGTGTTGTTTTCAATTTTTTATAATCAATAAATACATTGTTTGTCGACTTTAAAGTATACAAACTGATTAACATATTATAAAAAAGGAATATCATTCCTCGTACTATCAGCCTATGCAAAGCACATGAAAACATTTTGAACGCTATAACGATCACAGTTATCACAAAATGGAAAGATTGGATAAATATTCAAAACACGATAACCACTATTGTTTAGTGTTTTAAATACGTATATCAATATATCAATGCAAGATCTTCTGACTGTTATAGGTGACAGGAGTGATATGTTGAAGAAGGAACGCCAATTTGCTAAGGAAATAATAGCAGAAGAAAAACTTTAAAGACAACTCAAGAAATGTTTCCCTCTTAAAATGGATATTTCTATTACAGTAAAATATAAAATTATGACTTCGATTTCATTTCTAGAATTACTGCAAATCATGTTGCATATTAAATTTGGAACTTACTCAAATTACAGTTTATTAGCATTATTCATACAAGAAATGGCATATTCTTTACTTCCACCAAAGTTAATAAACTGTTATCATAGTTATTCAATCATGCTAATATTAAACAAAAAAGAGAATTTTTGACATGATACATATTCTTAGATCGGAGGCGATCTTAAAGACCTTAACAAAGATGATGTAACCAGTCTTTCGTGTTTAACTATCAATAGTGACGTTCAAACACAAAATTGGAAGTGATCGTTTTAGCTACAATCGATAAATATCAAAGGTCTACAATCTCCCTGACAATATTTGGTTATTTTCAGTGTTTTATAAACCATTGAAATAACTTATCAAAGGAAGTAATTAACATTAAGATATCAAGAATGAACAATTTTTGGTAAATATACTCCAGCTAATGCAATGATTGAAAAAGAGGGACGAAAGATACCAGAGGGACAGTCAAAATCATAAATCGAAAATAAACTGACAACGCCATGGCTAAAAATGAAAAAAAGACAACTAGACAAACAATAGTTCACATGACACAACATAGAAAACTAAAGAATAAGCAACACGAAGCCCACCAAAATATAGCTGTGATCTCAGGTGCTCCGGAAGGGTAAGCAGATCCTGCTCCACATGTGGCATCCGTCGTGTTGCTCATGTTATAACAAATCCGATAAATAGTCTAATTCGGTAGGCCACATTCATGAAAGGGAAGGAGATTGTATTTACGACGTTAGGAACATATCCGATATCATCTGTGAAAAGGTTGTTCCATAACGGTCAACCAACTCATAAAGGCGTCCGTAAAATTTACGAAGGGATGATTTCAACTTCACCATTTGAAACTCTTGGTTTAATACCTTCCTTGTGAGCAGCAACCCTCTATCAAGAAAATCATGATAGGAAATACAAGCACAGGAATATCGTATCAATTTGAAGATAAATACCCCGTATGCAGGTGCTGCTGAACTAACCATTTCTGATCAAATGTAAATGTTAGTTTAACATCCTTATTTGACATAGAATACACCCCGTTACTAGAAGTATTATAAAAGAACAACGTGTATGCCATATGAAAAAAATAAAACAACGATCAATAAACGTACATCTTATAAGAGGAAACTCACATTTTAAGACAGTTTGAGAGAGCTGTCCAATATGTTAATATATGTTACATTCAATAATAAGCGACTGTTTGACTAGCGAGAAAAATAATTAAATTTCTATGTACGATGAACAAAAAAATTCAACATGCATTCACGTTTTTCTTTTACATTGAACAAAAATGGTAAGATTTTCAATATATAAATTTTAAATACCGTTTGTAAATACTATATAATGGGTACAATTTTAAACTGTAGTTAAACTAAAATGTTGCTTTTTGCGATAAAAAGGTAACTAGAGACTCTCAAGATCGAGTGTCGCTTAATTGGATATTTTGTATTTTATACATGGCCATCCTCCAACATTATAAAAATATCAAATTACAAAATATCATACTACTTTGCATCTCAAATTATAATACAGAATAATAATAACTGATCATGATCCTAGGGAGTCACGGTCGCTAAACACCCCTACTAATAGCACGATAAAATTTGATTCCGACGTCTCCCGTTTATTTTGTCATACATTAACAGTAATATGGAGTTCTAATCTTAACGCAGAACTGCCAGGATAATATGTCTTCGAACTGTTCTAAACTTGTTTCAAACTCTGTATTACATAATACCATAACATAATCATCAAGAGTAACAAAAATAACCTAAAAAAAAGAAATTACGACAAAAAAGAAAAACTAAATTAAAATGTAGAAAGAATGTGCATAAATGAAATGACGTCTGAAATAATTATAACTGTCAAGAATGGAAGATCAGCATCTGTCAGGAACTGTTTTGAAAAATTATAGAAAAATAGTTTATCTGCATTGATAAGACAAGATAAGTGACCGAAACAAGTACATTATGTTGAATTGCAGGTGTGCGCATATTGTATGTAGACAGTCACATAAAAAATAAAAATGTCGTGTTGAAAGAATAGTCTTTATTGTGAAAAATAACTCAAGTAATACATATTTAATATGCAAATATAAAAGTTGTTCAGATCGCGGAATTTACGCACTTTCTTATTTTTACCCGAACAATTTTGCTGTTTTTTTTTATAGAATACTTATACGGTTCTTAACGAGTCTTAAACTACTATTGTGCATCATTTTTATCAATGAATTTCGTTTAGCCTCTATAAAAAATCGAAAATATGCTATATGCATTTCTTGATTCATGAAGACACCATGTTAAGCTCCAAAATATTGTTGGAGAATGTTTACCTCATATAAGGTGTGGGAAGGTACTAAGTATATACCTAGATGAAATATACTGTTTACCCATTGTACGATACAATGAAATAATATCGTATACAATGGTTCAGTCAAAGTTGTAATAACATGATTTTGTGGTCCCTTTAAAAAGATGAATAAATCATAAGAAGGACTAAAGTTTAGTCATTGTTTAACAGCTAAACAAAACCTAAGATGCAGAAAGTAATCTATTGACGTTCCCTATTATTAACATTCTAAATACCGATATATAAACTCATATAATTATAGTGTGATTAGAACAGGGTCTTTTACTGAAAGTCCTACCCGGTAGTTGATTGTCGCATATTTTCTATTGCAAATCAATGCTTTTATAAACAGAATTTAGTTTAAAATAAGTAAAACTGGACTTTATAAGTGTAGGATATCAAGTCAATGACCCATGGATTCATTACTACATGTATTTGAACATTGGAGGATCTCCATTTATATATTACAGTGTTCAGTTGTTAACAAACGTTCAAAAAAAGAATTAAAACTAGCATTACATTGTAACGAATAGTATGGCAAATAAACTCATCACATATACCAGGATTAAATTTTGTGTCTACGCTCGACGCGCGTTTCGTCTAAAAAAGACTAATCAGTGACGCTCGAATCAAACAAAGTTTGAAATGCTAATAAGGGTACGAAGTTGAAGAGCATTAAGGACCAAAAGTCCTAAAAGTTTTGCCAAAAACAGCCCAGGTAATCTATTTTCTGAGGTAGAAAAGCCTTAGTATTTCAAAAATTCAAAAGTTATGTAAACAGTTACTTTATAAATATGACCAATTGCCCTTGATTTCTTTTCCACGGGACGATCATATTCATGCATTCTTCCAATCTACTTATAATAAGTGTTCTGTAATTTAAAGGAGCAGAGCAATATATGGTTACATTAATATATTTTGGCTATTCGTACTTAACTAGAAAATTAAATCATCAACACCGGATTGTCTCTTTAACAAAATTTAGACAGAATATTTTGGCAAATTTTGATTACCCATATCCAAGGACCATACAAGAAGGACATGAATAATAACACATAAATGATAGGGAAGTATCCCGACCTCTTAATCAGGCGTACTATTGGAATTGAAAACAAAAAAAGAAATATTAAGATATATATACAGGTTTTCTTTTATCAGCAAAACGTTTTATAATTAGCCTTACTTTTTGTAAAATAAAAGATAATATTTTCAATTAAAGCATTTTCGCGCCTGTGTATATTTACTAATGTTTAATTGAACACAGTAAATAAATAATACTAAAAAGGTCTGACGTTACCTAAGTAATATGTTAACTCATAATTCGATGACAAACTGACAACGTCTAGGCAAAAAATGAAGGAAAAAAACAGTTTACAAAACACAACATACACAACCATGGACTCAATTGAACGTTACTACCATCTACGTTGTTTGATCTCAAATAGAAAATTGTCTCATTCCGAACGTTCTTTCTTTTAAAACATCAGTTTCTTAAGAAACTAAAAGAGCATCTGAGTCGTTCGATAAATAGCAACAATAATTATTTCATAATATTCACTGTGCGTTGTTTGAATCTTCTTTTCTTTATACATCGTGTTTATAAGTGAGTTTTTGCAGATGTTGTCCGTTACAAGACAAAAGACAGGATGAATAATAATAGAAAAGTAGTCAATCATAACATTTTTTCTATTTGATGACACAATAAGTTAAGCGCAAATTCGACGACAATATAACGAAATGATGAAACAACTTAAGTTGTCAATCCGTTTCGCTACATGTACAGCAAATGACCTTTTTAACTTGTTTTTGACTAACTGCAAACAGTACTAACAACAATTAAAATAGAAATTCATGAACTCTGACATGCTTGGGAACTTACTATGTAATGTTGTTGTTTACATTTTTTGTTTTGTTAGAATTAAAAAATCATGCAATCAAGCAAATATCATTTACTTCATAGTTCTCTGTGAATGAATAACAAAAATGCATATTTGTCATGATGTCACTTGTTGGAAGCATTAAATTAATCGTGTACGTTGTTGACCAATTTTCCTTCAGTCAGTAATACAGAAAATTGAGTCCCAAAAGAACGGGTCTTAACAGAACAGAAAGACTCCACTTGATTTGAACTTTACCCGAGGATATTAAAACAAAAGTTTTAACATTATTACATATTGGGTGAACTAAACACATATACAAAACAATAGTGACAGAGGTTTTACATTACTTCAATATTATGTAGTCTCCTCCTCTGAATGTTTGCATTGTCGAGTTTTATAATTCATTATCAGCCTCTTGCGTGATAATTTGATGAATACGGCGATCTCGAGTTGATAACCTTTGTCTGTATTATCTTATTTTTTTTCGGATCTATAGTTGTAAGATAATGATTGATGGTTATCTGTTATTTTCCCACTGACACATGTTCTTGAATTTGTCACAGAAAAAAATATTTGAGTTAAACCTAACCACAGATTCAACACTTCCAAATGGTTAATAAATGAATCTCTTTGTAAATATACATATAGAGAGAGAGATATGCAACCGCGCATTTTGCTGCGCTAGAATGCATTTGAGGTAAGCATATTGAAAAATAAGTTTGATCTAACATCATCGATTGAAGTTTATAAGTAAAACCTACTGCAGAGGTCACACTTTCCATTTTGTAAAATTGTATTATGCTAATGGTATATCATTGGAAATTTTATATTTAAAAAAGGCATTAAACAAGTCATTATAGAGAAAATTGAAATTTGTTCTTTCGGTGTGTTGTTATGTTTTACATCAATGTCATAAAAACCAGCTGTCTGTATCAAGGGGTTGACGGTAGTGATAAGATGATTTCCATATTCAGCCTGAATTCCAGTAGTTGGTTTCCATGTAGACGTGGTGGATTCTGATCTATGGACTAAATTTTTACTAAAGCTGATGCAGCGGATAAAGCACATGTCTTTTTGTTTCTGTAGCTCCATATCATTCATTAGGGTATATATGTACTTAAGTAGATACTAAAATTACCTGACTATATCTCAAAACAATACTTTGAAAGTATATTTTGACATATTATGAGTTATGATTGAAAGACCGTACAAGAAGGATGTGATTAACATAAAGAGCAAAAACAAATATTATAGGGAAAATTAAGGCTCTGAATCAGGCGACAAACAAATTTCAAGTAATAAATATTCAGATATTAAACCGTTTGTGGTCAGCATAACGTTTAGTTACTTTTTGTTAGGTTTAAGACACCGTTTTCCATTTTTAAGTATTATCTCACTGGTGTATACGTACAGTAGTACTGAATGTTTAAACTGTTAAGTAAAACATAATAATACTAGTACATAAAACATAACAACAAATAAAAAGAAATAAAAAAAAAACAATATGCTTTTTTTTAAAAAAAGAGGCTGCAGATACGCAACAGATACTTTTAATCATAAGTCAATGAAAAAAAAACGGAGCAAAAGAATACACTACAGTATACATAACAGAACATTTATGAATAGACTCATTTGCAAGTTACTAACATCCATGTTATTTGATCTCGGATATATAGTTGTTTCATAGTCACCTTATTGTTTCTAATTATGAAACACCCATGCATAAATTATCACGTTCATTTATTAATATGATTTTAAACAATGCAAAATTATTTATTGCGATTTCGGAAAATGCTGCATAAAAATGTGCTGTTTAAATTTAGAATGCGACTTTCTTTTCATTTTGAGAAAATACATATCCTTTTGCACTTTCACAGTGATAAAAACGTCGCTTAAGTTCCTGAATATATGTACCTAAGTGTTTGTCCTTTATTTTCCTATTGCATTTAGTTGACGTTTTGACGAAAGCCATAATTAGCCAACTTGTTATTACTTAGACGAACAACGCAACTTATAATTTGTCCAAGACATATATATCATACAATTCTGCTTTCAAATATGATTATATTGAAATTTTATTGATTTTCATCTGTCTAGTTCATTTTGAAAATTCTACTTACCTTGACAACTGTTTGTATGTTCCAATCATGTAAGTCAGAGCGAACTGTGTATGTCGCAATGCTCTCACTTCAAACTAGCACGTCATTCAATAGTGTAAATGTCAGGCAACAGATGTATGCAATTTTGTAAATCCATACAAATTATTCGTCAATTTTCTCTAAATTAGTATTAACCATTGTAATGTTTGACCTTAAATGTCTATTTCATAGAAGGTGACTGACGTTTAAATATAGTTCCATTTTTTACGAATGGTGTTTGTGATTATAAATGTATAACTTGCCTTATACAGTTGCCTAAAAAATATCTGCATAATTTCTCATAACTTTGAAAGCGTGAAGTGCTGTTTCGTCAGTTTTTATTGGATATATTATTCGTCTTTTGTTTTAAGTCGGATATGAGGTAAATAGGAAGCTGTGTGATTACCCGAGATGTTACTTAATAGTAGATCTGTAACAAATGATTTTCGTAAAAATCACTTAGGTTATGATAAGACCTTTAAATAACAAGTTATCTGAAAGACTTAAGCATTCATTATATGCAGGTCTATTGAAAGATGCCAGGATATAATATGGAAGATAAGCGAAAGAGAATTAACTAAAATTAGCATACACAGAAATCGACAACAAAAATTGCAAATTCTGAGAAATTATCTTCATTTTTTGCATGTTCCATGGAACATTTGTTCACTGGCTGTCAACTTCACGCACAGATCACGACATGAACAATTAGTTATTGATTAATTTTTAAACAGGACGTCACGTCGATTTCCAAGTTAAAGGTCAAAGGTAAATTGTATTGTCATGCTTAAACAACATAACTTGATGGTACACACATTACACCTATTATGACAGTTTATCACCTACTTTTGTTAAGATCCAGACACAAGTTTCCATTTTCTCTTTATTTAATAGATGTATCCTTAATTTCTTTATAGTTCCACAAATTAAATTTTAAATCCGTACTGAATCATAGAAAACTGGACTTAAACCGACTTCCAAAACGACACAAGATTATGTAATGATGAGTACCTAAAATACATCCATGCGTAAATTAAAATCCGAATAACTAATGTTTTGTTTTGTTTCTCCATATATTCCTCATTTTAAAAGTTGACCTCGCATGCGACGTTTCAGTTTATTTTACTTTTTTCTCGGAATACCTCATGATCATCTGTTTGGTATGTTTAAATAAATCTCGTTATGTTGAAAGATGTGCATAATGACGAATTTTAGAAATACAAATTACTTAGTCTTTAAGAAAACTTATATGATTTTCGCGATTATTTCCTTTTTTTACACAATAGTTGCAATATGGGTACTCTGATGTATTCAGAGTGAGGATTTTTTTTATATATAGAGTACATTACAAAAAAAACAAAATGTTATGTTAAGGTAAATTATATTAATAACAGTAAGCAGAACATGTTAACACACCGTTGTTGTGTTGTCATCAAAAAGGCAAAGCTACTTCACATATGTGTATGATTTAGCAAGATTTTGTGTTAAATCACATTCTATTAAATGCAGTCATTTTCTTTCAAAAACAATTTCTCGTATAATGTATCTTTTGTCAATGTTTGTACACGAACAATAAACAAAGCAACATATTCTGTTCTAAAGAAATGACACTATTGTAGTAAACTGATAACAAATGAAAATTAATTGTTCAATTTATGTTTAGCTTCTTTCAGTTCATTCTCAAGACATTCTTTTCTACTTCTAAATTCCTTCTTTCGAACTTCTTATCCTCAGTCAGTTTTAAACAGTAAAGTTCATCTGTTTCTACTATTTTACTATCTAATTCCTTTCTTATTTTCCTCCTTTCTTTGCGCTTTATTTTATTTATTTCCTCATTTTGCCTTTCTTCTTCAACTTCAGCTATTTGCATTAGCCTTATTCGTAAATTACTTTCTGCTTCCATCAGCATTTCGTTCGTAAAGAAATGTCCGTCATTTTCCAGTAGCATTTCATTAATCAAGAGAATTAACTCTCCGCATTGTTTTTCTTTCGATGCATTGTCTGAATTGTTATTGAAGGCAATATAGCGGTTATTACATTTATGCAGTAATGATTTGAGCTCAGGAGTTGAATCAACTATGAACTGTTCAAGGGTGACATTATCTTTATCAAGATCATCCTTTCTTGTAAAAAGAATAATCATATATCTAAATACACCCTCCCCAAAATGATCGACAAAATATTGAACAGTATCTTGTTCTTCCTTAGTGAATCTACCTATCCTTGTTACAAGAATAACAGCATGTGGTCCGGGTGAAATCATTTCTGTACATTTTACTAATTCATTTGAGATATTTTCATTAGTAAATCGAGTATCAAAAAGTCATGGAGAATCTATGACTGTTATCATTCTCCCAAATCATGCCGATTGTGATACCTGGCATTTGTCAGTGACTGACATACCAGAAACAGCAGAATGGAATGTATTCTTATTAAGAATATTATTACCAGTTGCACTTTTACTTTTGCACTTGTACTATTATTTGTCTGTTTGTCTTTTTATTTTTGGCCATGGCGTTGTCAGTTTGTTTTCGATCTATGAGTTTGACTGTCCCTCTGGTATCTATCGTCCCTCTTTTATCGGATCCAGTTTTACCAATAAGCAAGATTCGTCTTTCAGCATCTTCCTTCATGTTTGCAAACGGGGAATTTTTCTCGGTCCATTTGCAATCTACAATTTTGAAATTATGTAGCAAGCGATATCAAATTACAAAAATATCTTAACTGCATTAAATGTTTATCCATGAATGTAATATATCACTGGATTTTTACTTGCCAATGACCGCTAGTGGATCGTGAATGAACTGATTACTTTTTCGTGGAACATGAGTTCGACTTGGTGATCGATCTGATTTGTGTTGTTTTGAGGCCTATTGTTTGTTTTTTTGTGTTTTATCTTGAGGTCAATGTGGGGTGTGGGGCGTCTCTTTCATGTTGTAATTTGAATTGTTTCTTTTGAATCGTCTTTTCTCTTTTCATTCTTTCTTGTCCTTTAAAGATGTATCACTAAATTTACATAATGTATGCTTCTCCAATAATGCGCCGTATTCCACATCTGATGTGTCATACGAAGAAGGGCATATGCAGACAACATATTAAGCAATGTAATGTTATGACTTCTTCCACCATTTTGCATTATCTACAATTACTGCTTAAACTGCTCGATATTATAAAAATGTGTGTATCTGTTTGTGTATTATTTATAACCATGAGATAGCCGGATCAAATTAAGACTTGAAACTTGATATGTTATATTTCTCAAATAATAATGCAGCATTTAGGTATTAGGGTAGCACTATGTGAATGCCCATAATATCTGAACTTTTTTTAGTCTGCTGATTAGACAAAAGGCAATTAACGATTCGATAGTGCATCCATTTTCTCATATTATGACTAAATTTCGGATTTTAGAATCAGTACGGGTGTCACTAGTCGAGCAGAGACTGCTAACCCATTTGGGACATCTGAGCGCGATCTTTTGGTGTGGCCCTTTGTACAACTTTCATAAAATTAAATGAAGGTTCGAAAAAGCTATTGATGTCTTTAAACTGTTAACCACGAACTGAATAGAGTCGTTGACATCGCCGACAACGATGTCACCGACAAAAGAATTATAGTCGTGTTGTCTTGGTATCACGATAAAATGTCTAAAGTCCGACAAAAAAAATATCAAAAGGTATTAATTCCACACAATAAAGGAACAAAACTTTTTGAAAATCAAAGTTTGTGTTAAATTCATCACATGATGTAAAGCTTGTTCGCGTTACCTTCATGGTAAACTGTGAAAAAATTACACTACAAACGGTCAATTTGTCATCCTTCATTAGTTTTAAAAGAAAAGCCACATACATTGAAAGCTACACCGACCTCATGTAGGGAAGTGATCATGCTGGCAAATAGCTATTTATCTGCATGTTAAACACGTTAATTGAAAAATTACCTGTTTTGGTTGACTTGCCACGCCGTGTTAACTGCGAAGATGTAGTGATTGGTATGTCATCGAGGCGTAATTCACTGCATATATCACAGTACTTGTCGGCAACATAATTTGTATATTGACATTCATCACATTTCCAAACTTAAAAGAAAAAAAAAAATGTGAAATTTAAATGTTGACTCTTATTATGTACATCTAATAATGTAGGACAGCAATATTTGACCTGTTAAATTGCATGCTTACTGAAATTCCACATTGATTTATGCATTTGTGACTAGACTGTGTTTTACAAATAGAAGCGCTTCGCTTGGCATTGACTTCTTCTTTCTCTCAAAATCAATAAACGTATTATATTCTTATTCATTATGTCACATTGAAGTGCATAACATTGAACAGGTTCTCGTTATGTTTTATAGCATTAACCAATAAGAATGCTAACTGGACACTGGTTTAGACTCCACGTTACAATTTATGGTCATTGGCATTTACGGTAAAAACCATACTTGCCATTAGGTAACAATAAAATGAGGGTAACATAGACCGATATCAAGAAAAAGGGTGGTGATTGGGTTACTATGTTATAACGGCTAAATGGAAGTACATTAAGTGCTCACATAACAAAAAAAGTTTTAAGGGGCATTAGCTGTCAAATTTATGTTCACCGATTCGACTCAAATTCTCATATGTGATTTATAACATACTAAAATGTATAGCAAAATAACAATAAGTCTGAAATAAACAGTTAACCATGCATGTACTCGATAAAATGTATCAGAATTTAGTTTGTATTCAAGTCTAGACGCCATCGAGATGAACTTCGAAGACTGCCGACGGTAACATGATTAGATATAAATATAAACATCAATATATAAATAGATAGCGGCCTCGTGCAATTGGATTTTTCAAGGTCTTTTTGATTTCATGTTATATATAAGAAAAAAAACTAATTATCTTGTTTACCTGTTTAGTTGTGTTCCTTTTAATGGCTGAACACGACTAATACATGCGCAACCAATCTCTACCTAATGGGTAATATTAAAGGTTACATGAATACGGATTCAATGAGGTCAAATTATTCACTTGCAAGTGAATAATTCATCAGCGATGTTTCTTTGCTTATTTTGACAAAATTGAACCAAATTTGCAGCTTAAAGCGAATTATCATTTTTTTTATTTCACTGTTCTTAATGATTTAAAGGACTAAAATCATATTTGTTCATATCTCGTAGCAATGCCCCTTTAAGGTCTGTGTTTTCTTTCTTTGTTTGTTTGATTTTTTTCTTTGGCCAGAGAAAATGCCGTTATGAAAACATCTTCAAATCAGCTGATACTGATATTGATGTTCTTAAAATCAAGAACAGTAAATAATTTAGACAAGATTGACAAAGTTATGTATTCCTCATATGACCTTATTTCAAAATTTTAAAAGACAAGCGTGCTTAGTGAAGTTTTCCACACCTCTTTTTTTTTTTTTTTTTTGGTTTTCCTTGGTTAAATAACCAAAAACAATTTTAGAGGTATTTTTTATAGCTATTAACATAATTAAACAAAAAATACAAATTCTGGTGCGCCTATCCTTTTGCAATCCAAATACAAGTATACACAAACGCTGCAACAAACAAGTAGGGGAAGGGCTGAGATCTCACAAGTCATGTTTAACCCAAACGAATGTTTGCGACTGTCCCAAGTCAGGAAGCTCTGGCCTTTAATTTGTTAGTCTTGTATGTTTTTTTTTATCGGTTCATTTATATGTTTTGGAGTTTAGTGTGATGTCCATTTTCGCTGAACAATAGTATACATTATTGTTAAAGGTACATCTTAAACCCGCCTTCAGGTTTGGTATTTTCGCGCTCTGTTAAAGAACAATTGATGGCCTTAGGCTGTTTTCTGCTCTTTGGTCGGATTGTTGTCTCTTTGATACATTCCCCGTTTCCATTCTCAATTTTATATTACAACATGTACAAATATTCTAACTAACGTGAATTGTTTTTTTTTCTATTTCTGAGACACATATTAGCTACATGTAGGCCATGTAAAGGCGCATTTATGAGTTTGTATTGTGACGTAAATTTGCACACAATTTTGAGCCAACTATGGGCCTTTTTTGTGCATATTTCTTTAATCTCAACTTAAACATACGCAGAAATTCATATCACAACTCGTTAAGGATGACTTATGCTATGCTTTGCACGAATAACACTGTTTCTTATTCGTAAAAAGTACTCACCGAGAACTTCATCATCATAAGAAAGTTCAGCATCCATATTTTCATCATGGTTATTTTGCATTCTGCCTCCGTAACAGGCCTGACAGTATCCGCTATCACACTGGTTCACAAATGTACATGATTTGCACGCCCATCCTGTATAAATAAGCAAAACGATTTCTTTAACCCATGGGTTATCTTCACTATTATCATTTAAGTTGAAAACATTCTTAAATCCCTTTAAACTGACAATATGACCAGCGAGCAATACCAGACAGTGTAGTGTCTTTAACCATGAAACGTCAAACAAATAAAACTATCAACGAAAGAGACTTTACGGGGCATGCTCATACACCTTCCCATACAGGGGCGTAGCTACCTTCTTAATGAAGTGGAATCACAAACTATAGGGCGAGAGGTGGGGGGGACGCCTAAGGCCCCCAGTAGGTCCAGGGCAAAGCCCTGGTAGGGGCGAGGGGGCGAAGCCCCCCGGAAGCTCCTCATATATAGCGTTTCAAAACAATCACAACCGAAATAAAACTTGACATTTTTGTTGTGGTTTTTTGGTCAACTATTTGTTTAACTTCGAGTCGAATGAAGACTTAACATTGTCGCTTGCGTTTTTTTGTACGTGAAAGCTTTTAAAATCACGGAGATTTGTTCCATATGCTAGTATTCGTATTGAGCAAAGTAGATTTAAAAAAACAAACAATAAACATAAACACAATACTATATGTGGAGTTTCTGTTAGCAAAACATCATGGATACCAAATACTTGGTGGACACATTCTCATATATTTTGCTTAACATATGTATTTAGATGTTTAAAATTTTGTGGGTAAACTCTACAAGAGAGAGATGGGAATTTCGAATTTTACGTAGTTAGGAATATTCGAAGTTGAAATTAATGAACTTTTTCAGAGTAAATGGTACTTTGATCACGATCTTTTTCATGATCTGCGTTTTTAATTAGCCAGCTAATCAACAAATGCATATGCATTCGAACAGTTGTATGGCAATATCTAGATGATAACAGTGAAGATACGTGTAATAAAAGTTTGGTGTATCTTTCGAAAAAGAATCAGCAGTTTAGTGTCCTACTCGGACATACAGTTCTTTTTAAAATTGAATGACCTAATAGTCCAGTAAAATGATTAGAATTAACAATTTATTTAAATGGTTTTACGATCAACCATTCGTATAACCGGCCCATATAGAAACGACTTCGAATTATCGAATCTATATAACAGATTTTTTTTGTAAAATAAATAAAAACGTAAAACATGTACTGGAAAATGTGTACTTTTTTTTATAATAACAGCAGTTCCAACTTCTAATCTACTAGTATACGGAAACTATTGACTGATGGAATAGTTATTAATGTCCGGTAGCAAATATTACATGCACACAGGACGAGATACGTTGACGTGATGTGAAAATGAAATATTCGTGTTGTCAAGACCTACATACTTAGTCAATATTGAACTCGTTCACAGGGTTACAGTCATTATTCCCGGATCGATACGAGTTGAAGAGTCTTCATTCTAGTAAGATGTGTGCTTTGGGGCGAAGCGGAAAATAATAATATTCAAGTTTTTTTGTTAACCCGGATTATGTTGTTTTTTTACACTCAAAGCGAGTATACGGTATGGTTGTGGTACCAACAACTATGTAGCTGGTATTTTCTAAACAATGCCCGTAATATAAAAAGTTCCTCTAAGTTTACACCAGTTGTATGTATTTATCGTACACATGTCTTAAAGGATTAAAAATTCCGCTGCATGTGTATTCCTCTTGCTTTTCTTCTTTGTTAACTTTGTCTCTTACTCTCTCTCTCTTTCTTTTTTTTTTTTTTTTTTTTTTTTTTTGTGTGAAAACGACGTGGATGCACGTGCTGCCGTGCCTCCGGGTAGCTACGCCCCTGTCATATATATTATGAAACTACGACGGTAATATTGTCTAACACAAATCTATATTAAGAAATATGAACTTGACCAAACAAAAAATTATTTGAAATTTTAAATCAATAGGGATATTCCTATCAATCATCTTATACGTGACCATACATCCAACATGTCCAAGTAAGATTGCAATCACGTATGTAGTATTTGATTTAGAATCCTGGAATCTCAATGTGCAAATATTTAATGTTATCACAGTGAAATGTTTGTGTATGTGAATTTAATACTGGTCATCAATGGGCCTTAATTGGGACAATAAATATTTCCTTTCTCCTCTTCTCTAACAATATATATAATATACCTGTGTGGTCGATATACTGATCTTCAGCCTCGTCATGGCTACATGTGTCAAAATTAAAAGCATCTTGATCTTCCATTTGAGCAGTCGATGACCAAATTAGCTAAAAATATCGTACAATCAACATGATTAATACATATCGATTAATTTACATCACATTATTGGTTTTTTTTTAACTTCCTAAATCAGTTTTGAATCAAGGAAGAAATGTATTCTAAAAATAAAATTTTAAAAATCCCAAAGATCTATTTTTAGTTCAAACCAAGGATTTTTTCTTTTCTGCAAACTTTAAAAGGTCAATGTTTGTCTTCAATAGAATTTTATATGCGACGTTAATATCCTAGCTATAATTACCACATCCGTTTATATCAACATGATCTGATAAATTAAACATTTTTTTCATAATATATATCATATTTTATTGTGCTATTTAAAATATCCTAAAAAGACGTATAACCATTATCTCAATCTAAAAATAGATATGTGACACATTGGTTTTTCGTTTACTATAAATAAATCATACTTCGTATGTTGTATATATACATGCAAACACAATCATTTGATAAATACTTCAACATGGAAAGGTAAGGGTTTATTTTGATTTCTTTGATTCTTTGATTGTTTCCAAAACATAACACAAATGAGTTTTTGCAATTAATTTCTTTTTCCTAATAAAAAGTAAATGATCCGGAAACCATCGCTTAATTATTTGTTAAAAAAGAAAAAAGTCAAAGACTAATGATATCGAATAGTGACTTTATCACAGTGGCATTTAGATGATTACAGAACGTCATAGTCTGGTTGTGTTTATGCATCTATACTTATTGGAATTGTTTAAAATGCATTTAAGAGAAACCGAAAGACAAGTTCGTACTTTTTTTTAAATGTTAATGTTACTCGATGGCGTGTACATAAGGCAGGGGCCTGTTTATCGATGGAGTCCTAATATCTAAACCAAGGCATATCTGAGAGCATGATTTGGGATGGAATTAAAACTGTCTGAGCATGCACATCGATGCTCTCTTAGGATTATCTTACATAGAATGTTGTAACCGATATCCTAGATATTAGAGTATAAGTAAATAGCATAATAGAAAAAAATGAAAACAATAGAACGAGACAACAATGCATAAAAATTAACCGGTGAATATATAATAATAATATTTAAATTATGATAAAATAATAGCAAATATCAACAATATCGTTAATATGATTATAAAATAAAGGATTATATAATAATTGTACATTTAAATGTGACTACATTTTCTATGATAATTGAACTATTTAAGTCTAAATATTTACAACGGTAACATAATGATTTATTTTCGAGTACGTTGAATTCTCACAGTCTCATATATAAAGGAGTTCAAAGGCAAATATCGTGCATCGTTCGTATGAATACGCAAATGTTTAATTAATTCAGTACTGCCAAAATATATAAGAATATGAACAAAAGGAGGAATCCTAACTTTACAGATGCCGAACAACAGTCCCTCCTGTAAGCATAAATCTTTACTGTTCAGAACAAAAAGAGGGTTTGCGATACAGGTATCATAAAATATATTCTTAAGTTAATACCATCTTACAACACCTTAATTTGCCGTCCTTAACTTAGTACAATTCATAGGAAAAATTCTAAATAACGACATGTTTGATACACGCATTTTTGGCAAAGATATGTCCTAAGATGATCTAAGGAAATGTCCTAAACACTAATAATGCTTATAAAAACAGGCGCAAGATTTCGTACCAGCGATAATCATAACATAGTGTGACAACTACAACGTAAGTGGATCATGTGGATGGCAAATATACAAAAAAACGTTGACAATTGCAACTTGCCTGAAGATACCTTGGTAGTCACATTCTTGTTCTATAGTGTTATCAAATTTTGTATCAATTTATCTGCCGGTAATCAAGGACACCGATATATGCCAAAGAGTTAAGACAGAAGGTGAAAATGCTTAACTAATGACCATGTCTTGTGCAAGTAAAACTTCTAAATGTATTTTACCTTATTATCTTGTAGTGAATGGGAATGCAGTGTTTGTACTTTAGTAAATAATGCATCTAACCGTACATGTGAGGTTTGTTTGAACACAAAACCATCATCTGCAGACACTTGGTCACCATATCTACAGAATACTGCTTCCAGTGGTATGTTGTGCCATGTTTGTTAAACATTATATTCTCTTGTGTGATCAAAGAAAAAAAACTGCCAATAAATGTACACCTTTATAGCTTGCTGTTCGGTGTGGCTCCGTGTTGAAGGCCGAACTTTGACCTATAAGGGTTTACTTTTACAAATTGTGACTTGGATGGAGCGTTGTCTCATTGGCACTCGCACCACATCTTCTTATATCAAGACACTTACTGGCAACATAATTGTATATTGTTGGTTTGCTTTCTTTATTACTTTATATAGTCGACAATCGTTATCTGAAAAGTTGATCGGTCTCACTTACAGTAGCAGTACTTTTTAGTGATATGTTTTCATATTTTTATCACATTATATTTAAGTATTTATCCATCTAAACATTTTGAAAACATCCCAGAGTCATTATCATGTCCCAACAGGGAGTAAAATAATAATCAAAGTATGTAAATAACAGCACATAGTAAATATTATCTATATAAGTGCACATGGAAGAAGCTAATCTTTTAGTCCTCTATTGATACCAAAAGTCCTGCTGTTAATCCCAGACCACAAGATAAATTATGCGGTCTTATCTTAACATTATTGCATTTCAATCAACAGTAGTTTATATAAGTATAGAGGTACATATATGTCACTATGTTAGATATTGATATTGGTTATATACAGCTGGGTACTCTTAATATGCTCTTATCATAGACTGTCTGGATTGGGAGGGAACTTTGACAATATTTCATTACTACATTACAGATCAAATATGTGAGGTCAAACTCAGTGTGTAATTAAAGGGAGTAATTTCTACAAACCCCAGTTTTTTGTCAATTTGAATTTTTCTTCTAATTCATAATGTATAGGTCACCAAGGATGAAAGGTAAAATGAGGTATGACACCCAGCAGTTAAATCGATATGTGACTCTTTCATCTAGCAATAGTATTAAAACATTTGACTTTTGTACACATTACACAAGTATTCCCCATTCCAAACTAAAAGACTAATAGAAAGAGTTGATCCTGCTTTGGTTCATAAAAAAAATAATTGCCAAAGTAGATATACGTATCTTGTCTTAGGTAGGAATAAATCCTACTTTGTAAAACATCACTCTGATTCAAACAAAAAAAATTCTATGAAACTGGCATTATCAAGATGCTTGATTTCTTGCTTGACAAAATATTTTTACGTTTGGAGGACGTGTTTTGCAACACACAATCGGCATTCCCATGGGAAAAAGTGTGCCCCTCTTCTTGTCGACTTGTTCCTTCATTCATTTGAGGCTTTCTTCGTACAGGAACTTCTTAATAAGACAATACGTCAGCAGTATCCTTTAACTTTACTTTCCGCTATATAGATGATGTTCTCTCACTAAATAATACAAAATTTGGTGACTATGTTGAACGCATCTATCCCGTCGAAATTAAGATAAAGGAAATAACAGATACAGTTAAGTCTGCCTCATATCTTGACTCTCATATAAAAATTGACAATGAGGTTCGGTTTAAAACAAAACTTTACGACAGAAGACAGCTTCCCAATTGTGAATTTACCATTTCTATGTAGCAACATTCTAGCAGCGCCTGCATACGTAGTATATATATTCCAGTTGATATTCCAGTGCTTATATTTCCTATCATGATTTCCGTGATAGATGAGTGCTGTCACAAGGAAGCTTTTAAAAGCAAGAATTCCAAGTGGTGAAGTTGAAATCATCCCTTCGTAAGTTTTACTGACGCCACCACGAGTTTGGTTGATCGTTATGGATTCCGTTTTACAGATGATAGCGGATATGTTCCTAATGTCGTAACTAAAATTTCTGACCTACCGAATTAAACTTATTTCCGGGTTTGTATTAACATTAACATGAGCAACACGACGGGTGTCACATTTTAAACAGTATCTGCTCACCTTCTGGGGCAACTGGGATCACCTTAGCTTTTGTAGGGGTTAGTGTTGTTCAATCTTTAGTTTTCTATGTTGTGTTTTGTGTACTATTGTTAGTCTGTTGGTCTTTTTTCTTTTTTAGCCATGGCGTTGTCGGTTTATTTTCGACTTATGAGTTTGAATGTTCCTCTATTATTTTTCGCCTCTCTTTTCTCACTGGCGGCATATATAAAAAAAAACATGAGACACGATTTTGTAGCGTGTGTAAGATCAATAAAAGGGAAGACAACAAATGTTTAATACCATCTAACATGAATTTGCTATTTTTACCATTTTTTTACAGTTAATGAGCTACTTTTTATACGACCGCAAAAAATTTCTTGGGACCGTATAATGGTATGATGTCGTTGTCGTCTGCGTCGTCGTCTGCGTCTGCGTCGTCGTCCGAAGACACATTAGGTTTCCGGACAATAACTTTAGTTTAAGTGAATGGACTTCTATGAAATTTTTTAAGAAGGTTCAATACCACAAAAGAAAGGTGGGGATTGATTTTAAGGATAATGGTTCTAACCATTTGGGAATTAGGGGCCCAAAAGGGGCCCAAAAGGGGCCCAAAACAAGCATTTTACTTGTTTCAGGATAATAACTTGAGTATAAGTATTTTGATTGCTCTGAAATTGTACCACAATGTTAAATACCACAAGTAGAAGGTTGGGATTCATTTTGGGGGTTGTGGTGCCACAGTGTAGGAATTAAGGGCAAAAAATGGGCCAAAAACAAGCGTTTTTGTAGTTTCCGGACAATAACGTGTGTGTGAGTGTATGGATATCTCTGATATTGTACCACAAGGTTCCATATTACAAAGGAAAGTCTGGGATTGAGTTTGGGGGTAATTGCCCCAAACATGGGGGAATAAGGGGCCAAAAACAAGCATTTTTCTAGTTTCCAGACAACAACTTGTGTTTAAGTGAATGGATCTCTCTGAAATTGTACTACAAGGTTCCATACTACAAAAAAAGGCTGGGATTGAGTTTGGGTGTAATTGCTCTAAGGAGGGATTCAAAAAGTTTGGGGGGGATTTTTTTTTTTTTTTTTTTAAGGGGTTCAAATTTTTTTCAAAATTTTTCAAATTTCAAATTTTTGAAAAGTTTCAAGAAAAAGGAGGAAACCTTCAAATGCACAGTATTGCGCAATAGATTTGTAAGATCTTTGACCACATTTATTTTGTGTCAGAAATCTTTATTATGTCAAAAAAGTGATCACAATCCAAATTCAGACAGTATCAAGCTTGAATATTGTGTCCTGTTCAGGGTTCGACCTCTCCGGTCGTATCAGGGTGCGCTCAGCGAAGCATTTTATTTATTAATCATACAAAAACAAACGTTTACCTATCTATAGATTTAGCTTTTAAATGAGTTAAAGATTTTTAAAATCCATTGAGTAATTTTGGAGAAATTTATCTTTAAAAAACTGTTTGTTTGAGTCATGAAAGTCAGACTGTAGTGCTACCTTAAAAGAGATAACAGAAATTTGAAGATATCTAGAGTAAATACGGTGTGAAATGAAAGTCAAAGTAACTGTATCTTTAAATGAATTTTAGAATGGAGCTGTCTTGTATGTACGTACAATAACAAAGGACAAGATCAGATATGCGGGATATGTAGCAGTTCACGTGAAACTATTACTACAGGACCAGTAAATATCCCTGATTATTTGAACAGAGGTAATTCACAATACCCTAAACCTTGGGTCTTTTATCGAAAATAATAGACAATCATACAAACGTTGGTTTTCAATAAACTCTGTAAAGTTGGTTGGTTATGAAACTACAGTTTGTATAACAAAAACTTTAAAAGCAATTATAACCCGTGTTAAAAAACATTAACGTTGATCGTAAACATCAAAGATTCCAGACTGATAATTAATTTTTTTTTTTTTTTTTTTTTTTTTATCTTCTTGAAACATGTTTATGGATCCATAACCAAACTCATATTAAAAATAGTAAAAAAAACACATGTTTATAATCTTGAACTGAAGCCTGCAAACATTCAATAAACTATTGTTATCTCAGTTCTTAATCATATGAAAGAAACCACATACTATATAATACACTTTTGAATCATTTAAGCCTGTGAATCGTAAAGATATGCCGTTAAAATATTGATATTTTCCTATCAAAATGAACGCGGCAACAAATTTTGCATGTATGTGCAACACAGATTGTCGAATTGGTTCAGTGAAATAGAACACAGTGTTTAAAGATCAACGTATATAAAACTACCTTTTTTGTTTTAGGTGCAACTAAGAGACCAAAGTTTAGTGGTGTGATAAACACAACTGAATTGCGAATTGTAATAATTGGCAAAACGGGGACAGGTAAAAGCGCCACCGGAAATACAATCTTAGGCAGACGTGAATTTGAATCTAAAGTATGCGGAGCCTCTATTACAAACAAATGCCAGCTTGGAATGAACACCAGATTCGACCGCAAAATGGTGGTTGTGGATACTCCAGGACTGTATGATACAGGGATGACAAATGAGCAAGTTACAAAGGAAATAGTTAAATGTATTGGGATGACTGCGCCAGGACCACATGCTATTCTGCTGACGTTAAACGTTGGTCGATTTACCAAGGAAGAACAAGATACGGTTAAACATTTTGTTGATCATTTTGGAATTGGTATGTACAATTACCTAATGGTTGTTTTTACAAGAGCAGACGATCTTGAAGATGATAATGTAGACATAAGGGAATATGTTAAAAATTGTCCACAGTCACTTCAGGCAATTCTCAAACTTTGTGACCACCGGTATATCCCTTTTAACAATAAACTTTCTGGTTACAGTCAAGAGCAGCAAGTTAAAAATTTGATAGGTTGTGTTGATGAGGTTGTACGCAAACATGGAGGTTTTTGCTACACAAATGAAATGTATGAAGAAGCCGAAAAAACACTGAGAAGACGTGAAGATGAAGTAAAGAGAAAGTTGAAGGAAGAGGAACGACGAAAAATAGAAACTCTTCATCGCAATCTTCAAACGGAATTTGATGAAAAGTTTGCATTGGCGAATGAGGAAAAAGAAACGCTTGCCAATGAAATCAGGAAAATCGAATTGGAAAAACAGACAGCAGAATCTCGGGAAGCAGAGACAAGAAACCAAATAAATGCGTTGAAAAATGAGTTGAAAGATTGTAAGCAACAAGAAGAAAACCGAAACAAAGAACAAGAAGAAAGACTGGAAAGAAAGCTACATGATATGGAAAGAAAACAAGCAGAACAATTACAAATGCAAACCAATAAAGCAAACGAAGACCGAATAACACAACTACAGAAACAAATGGAAGACAACGAGCGACGACGAGAACAACAGATAGAGGATTTGAGAAGGGAAAACGAACGGAAAGTGCGGGATGTTGAAGAAAGCTATAGGAGACAACAGGAATCATCAGCTTTACGTGATAACTCTAGAAAAGGGATCGAAAAGGAAGAAGGTGTATTTTCCCAAATATGGACTGGAGTAAAAGGAGCGGCAAACGCAGTTGTTGAAACTGTGAAGAGCTGTTCTATAATGTAAAAGGAAGCTAACTTTTGTTTCAGTTTCAATGCTTTTTCGATAGCTTACAATAGATTAAAGTTGAAGTAAAATATTTCAAAAAATATCGTGGTGATGAACTTATTTTACTTTTATGCATTGAATTGATACATGATCGTTTGCGTAATTATATAATTCACTTGTCTATAAAATAATTTCGTCAAATATCAAATGATATATTCACAATGATGTAAAACGGGATTTCTAGATACACATGTGTAATATGTTTAATGATATTCATCGATATGAAAATACTAGTCTTTTCTTGCGAATCCTTCGACTTTCAAGTGCCGAAAAAGGTTTTATATAACGTAGAACGTGGAAAGTGGGCAACTAAGTGGCATTAAAATGTAATTGCAATTTAAATATTTTTCATCCAAAGCTTTTTTATTTATTTTTGATAAGCAAGTCAACAGATATATTTTGGAATTTTTGAAAACATCACGTACATCGATAAAGACGTTTCTTATTATTTCTTTATTTTTCACATAACATAACTGTAACAATAAAATTCTGAATGAGATGTCAAATATCTGCATGTATACTACATGCATTATCGTTCTACTCTCAAAATATTAATAATTGCACAATTTTGCCTTCCGCATCTGAGAAACTTGTTCTAATTGCTTACGTTCACGCTTTCTCTTCAAGGTACCATAAATTTGTCATTGTGTTGTGTGGTTTTTTTTTTCCAAAACAATATTTGCAATGTACAAAGAATATATATTTATCCATTCCATTAAAGAATAATTCCTCTTTTTATTGTTTGTTATATTGTTCCTGGGGGTGTTTTAACCGTATCAAGTGCGTTTATGTGTTTCTTTCTTGTCTTTCTTATGGCATATTTTATTCCATATGTAGGAGGAAATCAAGAAGATACAATCTATTGAAACGGCATATTCATATGTTACCCGTTTGTTTGCATCTGTTCTAAGTCAAGAACTTGTTGTTCAGTGGTTGTCGTTTGTTGATGTGGTTCATAAAAAGTAAAATCACAAAACTACTGAACTCCGAGGAAAATTTAAAACGGAAAGTCCCTAATCAAATGGCAAAATCTAAGGCTCAAACACATCAAACGAATGGACAACAAATGTCATATTCCTGACTTGGTACATGCATTTTCTTAAGTAGAAAATGGTGGATTAAACCTGATCTTATAGCTAGCTAAACCTCTCACTTGTATGACAGTCGCATAAACTTCCTTTATATTGACAACGATGTTCGGACAAAACAAACAGACACAATAGGTAAAAATGTAAAAAAAATAGGGGTATCGCAGTCAACATTGTGTTATTATCTTAATCACTATAAAAACAAACAAGTATGTAAACAAACATTTACCATGGCACAATAACACAAGGGATGTATAAGTACAGAGCCACGTCATATTAACAAGTGTTTCTCATTTCTCGTTTTTTATATAGATTAGACCGTTGGTTTTCCTGTTTGAATGGTTTTACACATGTCATTTTCGGGGCCCTTTATAGCTTGCTGTTGGGTTGAGCCAAGGCTCCGTGTTGCAGGCCGTACTTTGACCAATAATGGTTTAATTTTACAAATTGTGACTTGGATGGAGAGTTGTCTTATTGGCACTCATACCACATCTTCTTATATCTATTAATTAGAAAACATGTTTGAAATGCACCCAAACAGATTAAGATCAAAGTTCAAGCGAATGAAAAATATTTCATGTATGTGGTACATCTGTGTCAAACTTTATATATATTATGCTTTGGCATGAGAAGTTCTTTTTCATTTCAAACTTAATCGTATCTATACATACGATTAAACTAGTTCCCAATCTTTTATCTTTCTAAAGATGTGTACCTATATAAGGTGTAAATCTACGTATAGATTTTGGATCAAAAATGTCAAATGCATCAGAGAACTTCGTTGTACCAGGTTTGTAACGTATTTTATACGTTTTTGTTTGACATGAACGGACTATCTACTAAATTGAACATTCTTTCAGTTTGCTTTTCTTTTTATATTTCGTCTGCGTTATATCGTATTCGCCATGGATATTTGTTGTTTTGGGCTGCTTAGACTGCGTGTAGTTGGTCTGACTTTTTGTCTAGTAATTGTTTGTATTGCTGAAACTACCATTTCAAATGTTTGTTGTGGTAGTTTTGGTTCCTGATGAACTTAAAAACAAATGGAGGACGAGCGCAGACCAGAACAGCATATAGAGGATTTGAGAAAGGAAAATGAACGGGAAGTGCGGGAGGTAGAAGAAAGCATCTGCTTTACGTGATAACTTCAGAAAAGTAGTGGTTGAAACTGTTAAGAAATGCTCTATTATGTAGAAGAAAATAACTGTTTTGAATTTTTTTTTTTACTTACTGTACCTTAAATTTATATAAACGTTTTAATGCAAACTTTCAAGAAAATGATAGAGGATGTAATGTCATATTTAGTATCATGCATTTGAAATGAAACATGATAACTTACGTATTTATAACATATGTTTCTTGAAAAAAAGGATAAAAATATTTAATGATATATTCATTCAATGTCTAATTGAAATCAAGATTAGAATATTTTATGTAAGATAATATTAAACTATATGAACAATTAATTTTTCTATGAATCAATCGACATTCAAGTGCACGAAAGGATTTTTACAACATAGTAGGAGTATTTTTGCGCAACTGATAGACATTATATGTTATCGTAGTTTAAGTATTTTAAATTCTGGACGTGTTGTGAGTTTTGTTGAGTAAAGTGATACATATTGGTATACATCGATTTATATATCGATCCGAACATATTGTTGTTAAAAATATCTTTTGCTAGCATCTTACCTTGTTCGTTGTTAATAAATCTATGTCGTGACTGGTGCACTCTGTTTCTATGGAAGTTCAATATTTCATTGTCAATCAAATACGTCCTTTACAGACAGAATAATCAAATTTAATTTTGGTACAAATAATAACAAGAAACACAATGATTTTGTTATCGATTATTAATATGTTGAGACATGGACAAATACGATGGTCCAATAATAGAAAACTGAATCCTGAATACGGAATACTACCATACACATATTCTTATAATCACATAATTGTAATTCGAAAAACGACAAAACGACATAGAAAAGTATATAAAAAACTGAAGACTAAGCAACACAAACGCCATCCCCCCCCCCCCCCCCCCCCCCATATCAGAAGTGATCTCAGGTGCTCGGGAATGGTAAGGAGATCCTGTATTACATGTTGCACCCGTCGTGTTGCTCATGTAATTACAAACCCAGTGATAAGTCTTAATTGTTGCATCACATTCGCGAAATAGATGACCGGTTTGTGGTAATGATTATTGTCATTTGTGAATAGGTATTCTATTACGACCAACCAACTCCTGATGGCGTCCACAAAATTTTCTAAAGATTATTTCAAAATCACCACTTGTAACACCTTGTTTAAAAGCTTACTTGTAAGCAGTAACCCTCTATCAATGAAATCATGATAGAATATGCAAGCTCGTGAATATCATATATTTTGGGAGAAATGTACTCCATATGCTGTCGCTTTTGGAATGTTGCTACATAAAAATGGAAATTTTAATACTGTGGAAACCGAAATGATCTGTTTTGTCGCTAAATTTTGTTCTAAACCGGCCTACATTGTCAATATTTGTTGGGATGTAAGTCAAGATATTAGGCAGACTTTAACTGTTTCTGATGGGATAGCTGCGTTCATCATAGTCACCAAACTTTGATAATGTAGTGACAGAACATCATCTATGTATCGAACGTGAAGTTAAAAGATGCTGCTAGTTTCTTTTATTCCATTGCAGAAACTGTTGTAAGGTCCCTGCCTCATATGAACAAAGGAACAATTCAGCAAAGAGAGGGACACAGTTAGTTCCCATCCCATGAAATGTGATTGTTTGTTGCAATTTTGAATTAATTTGAGGTACATGACCTTTAAAGATTTTATAAATTTTGAAAAAGGCGTTAATTCTTCTTTTATTTCAACTATGTTTGCTCTGTAAAACTTACAAAGGCACCGAAGTTTATCTTAAATAGGTTTACGTCAAACTTTAACAACATGTCAAATATTTAGTTTACAAGTTTAAAGTGATTTTTACTGTACAATTGAAAACCAGAATGCACAGTAATATTTTTCAAGTCATGTTAATATTCCGTTTATTTTTTCCTTACTCAACCTTCTGAGTTATTGCAAAAATTACGATCAAGACATCCAATATATACATTCCCTACTTTAAATAATTGTATACACCAAATATACTTAAGGTATTGCCTATAGTATCTGTTTTACCTGTTCTATTTGCTGTTGTTTACTCCGCATACTGTTAGAGGTGCTATTTATTTGCATATTTGTGTGTGCCTTTTTAAATCAATATTTTCCTAACATTTGTATTAATTGTACCAAACTATATAAGCATTGCACCAAAGAGATTAGGTTCCAAGTGTAAGCGTTAGTAAAGGATTACAGATATGTGATACAGTGTAAATGGTTTTGTCAAACTAGGTGTGCGGAAGTATTCCCTTTTCCATTTTTTATGTTTTTGTTACAAATTTAACCGTAGAATTACCAACTGCTTTTTTTATTATGTAGCATATATAGGTATTATAAATTCTAAGACATTACTTTTAAGACAGCAGTGAAATTCTTCAACAAAGATAAAGGCATTCCGTCAACGTGCTGTTATTTTACGTAAATGGGAATAATTCAAGCTATTCGAAATATATTCCCAATAATTAGCTGGTAAATCAATGCATGCATTAAAGGCATGCTCGGAAATGTTTGGATATTGAAGTTACCAAAGCCTTGCATGTGAACTATGGCTTCATTGGAGAATGAAATTGATTTCGGCTCCGCTATAATGATTATGGAGCCAATGTTGAATTTGAAGTTACGTTATTTACTTCTGCAAAAAAAAGCAAGCACAAAATTTACACTATAATTATTGTTTGCAGCAATAAAAAAAAATGGAAATTATATGATTCACAACATTGAACCAAAAAAACAATGCTTAAAGCTATCCTTATTCAATACAAAATGTAATGATATCAAATGAAATTAGGGAATTAACAGTAAATGTGTATGTGACAACAATGTCCATGAACAATTTGTATCGAACATAAATATACATTTTCAAATGAAAAACACAAGAACATACTACTGACATCAACGATATCGGCTCGTAATAAAATTTAAGTTGACAACCCTCTGACAATGTTTACTAGTAAAGATGGATGAATTTGATATATGTTCGAATGGAAAATAGTAATCAACATGTGGATTCTTACAATGTCAATTGAAAATGTTGGAATGATGACGAAATTAAAGATGCGAGGTGCTAAATCGAAAATCACAAGTACAATACCATTACGATGATAAGACTTTCTTTCCGAAGCCATAACGTTTGACTGGAAGAATTGTGATTTGGTACCAAATACTCAATACTGGTCATTATAAAAGAGAGACGAATGATACCAAAGATACATTCAAACTCATATGTCGAATATAAACTGACACAGCCATGGCAAAAAATAGAAGAATATAAAAAAAAACAATTAAACAACAGTTACTGTATACAAAACACAACATAGAAACCTAAAGACTGAGCAACACGAACCCCACCAAAAAGCGTGGTTGATCTCATGTGATCCGGAAATGCAAAGCATATCCTATTCCCCCTGTTGCACCTGTTGAGTTGTCCGGTGATAAGTATAATTTGGTAGATTACATTCAAGGAAAAGGAGGACGGGATTGTGGTTACGATGATTGGA